CCCCCACCTCACACACACCCCATTTAGCTTTAACGCAAATATTAATTTTTAAAAGTTAAAGGGAACTCAAATATTGGGATTTTTCACATGACTTTTCCCCCACTGTTATGTCTCAGTTGTGAAGGAAGATAAAAAACATTATACGTGAATGAATTGTTTCTCAGTTTTTGTGGTTGATCAGTTTTTGTGTGTTGATCATATTGACCGGGTAAACCAATATTATTTTATTGGTCAGGGGAGGACTAGAAATTCAACATCCTGACTCAAAATCTTTTTTTTTTTCCCTATTACAACTGCCTCATGACTACATTTTAAGTTACTTCCAAAGGGGGCAAATCAGTAACCAATAAACTTTACATTTGACTACCACCCAGCTAGCAGGCCGGCTTATGCTAAGATTTGAGGTAAATAATTATCTTTTAGGAGGGATATCTTCTTCTGAAACTCTTTGACTTATTTAAACTGACTTTTTAACTTCATTTTCTTTTACAGCTCTATGGACTCAAAACAAACAAACCTTCTCTAACCACCAGGAGAGAAAGAGTCGATGAGGTACAAGAGACATTCTTGGGACTCTGAGTAAAACCAGAGGTGACACATGTTGGTTAAATGCTCAAAACTCTGGGGCTAAACATGATGCTAGTGAAGGCTCGGCCACTCACCAGCTGTGAGACCTTGGGCAAATTATTCTTCTTCTTTCGCAAAAGTAGATAATGAGCACCCTTCTTAGAGGATTGTTGAGTGGATTAAGTGCAACAAAGCACACAGTATTTAGTGCGGAGTCTGGCATGTATGAGCATCTATTAAATGGTAGATGCTAGAACTTTTATTCTTGTTGCAATATTAGCAAAATTATTAAATGGGACCAAATCATTTAGTCTGAGATATTTTTAAAAATTAGACAGCAATTCTTGTCTTGTAGTTCCTTTATTAGAGTGTTAAAAGAATTTACTATGTGCTACTGCTATGTTTTGATTAAAAGCCATCTATTTATTAAGACTGATATTTCAGGGACTTCCCTGGTGGCGCAGCAGTTAAGAATCCACCTGCCAATGCAGGGAACATGGGTTCAAGCCCTGGTCCGGGAAGATTCCCACATGCCGTGGAGCAACTAAGCTTGTGCACCACAACTATTGAGCCTGCGCTCTAGAGCCCGCGAGCCACAATTACTGAGCCCTTGTGCCACAACTACTGAAGTCCGCGCGCCTAGAGCCTGTGGTCTGCAACAAGAGAAGCCACTGCAATGAGAAGCCTGGGCACCACAACGAAGAGAAGCCCCCGCTCGCTGCAACTAGGGAAAGCCCACACAGAGCAACGAAGACCCAATGCAGCCAAAAATTTAAAAAAAAAAAAAAAAGACTGATATTTCAGCAAACATAAATGAATCCTTCATCTGATCAATATCTCTGATACTTATCATTTTTCCTGGGTATTCTATATAGTAGCTGTCAGTCTTTCTAAGGAAAGATCAAAAAAAGATCAGTCATTTTTTGCCTAATAAAATCAAACGAGAAAGCCATGTTGCTTTTTAAAAAGCTTAGTTCTGACATACGATTTAAAAATGCTTATGAAAAACATATTCAGAAAACCATTCAAAGATTGATCATTCATCACTAGTCTCTTATGCTCACCCAACACTGGTTTACTTAAGATTAACTATGCCTTTTAAATATTTCTAAGAGCTTCAATAAACACATGATAGAGAAATGTGTTAAAGATTCACGGGGCAACTTTTTTCCATACTGAAGACTTTGGTTAGCTCAATTGTACTGGGTTACCTGTTTTGTTGTTTCTTATTTCATACAGTGATTTATAACGTTAAGTGCCAGCATGCCTAACAGCATTTCACAATGCATGAATTCAGAAAAAATTCACAAGCTAAAATAATAGGCTTTAAAAATGAAACTGACCTCTGAAGATTTCTTACTGAGAAATTGCACATTCAGTAAACAGTAATGCCACCAGGAAAAGGATGAAGACTCCAAAGAAGCCTTATTAAGAGATGTGGGGTGGTCTATCGCCAATATTTGAAAAACATTCAGAGTACATTTAATTAGCCTAATTACATGGTGCGCTTACAGCTTATTATCAATGTCCTCTGACAGAGATATGTTATCCTGGCCTTGAAAGCTCAGCGCCCATAGTGCCTTGAAATGAACTTGGATAATGTCCAGGAATTTCCATCAGTCCCATACATTTTGGAACAAAGCACTAATAAAGTGCACAAAGTACATGTTGGTTAAAAACGTGGTAACATTCAAGTTTTTCTGCTTGGTGCATTTAGCTAACATAATGTGTCTCTATGATTGTTGGGAGAAAGACTCAAAGTGACATAACAGAAAATTCGCATGTTATACCATTCAAATGATAAGACCGTCATAAATTAATCTCCAAACCCACTACTATTCACTCATCCTTTAGCACTAATGCTTCCAGTCTGCCAATACATGCTATTTAAGGGCTACTCACAATGAACTTGATGTTAACTAGCAGGAAGCATGTGATATGGCATTTTCACCCAGAAGCATACTAATTTTATTACCCAGTGAAGCAATCCTCATCTATATTCAACACGTCAGTAACTTTTCATACTGACATTTGAGATTTAATGCAACAATTTCATGGAAAGAAAAATATGTGGAACATAGGATCATGTGAACTCTTGGTACTAAGTTTTATTTGTAAAACACTCAGGGATTACTGTCTTTTAAAAAAAATTCAGCATCAATAAAATATGAAGAGCTGCTTTCATTTCAGAAATTCAACTTGTATGCATTCTTTCAAGTTTTTCTACTTAGAAAGGTATAACCACAATAAAAATTTTACTGAGTTGAAGTTTTTTACAAAACACTCTATCCCACGAGAACATCTTAAAGGTCAGTTTTAAGAAGGTTCAAAGTTGAATTGATGGAAAATTACATATTCTCTTTTCTCATTTAAATAAATACATAAAGCAAGCATCCTGAATACCCCCTGTAACAAGTACACATGAATTCTTCTTTTGATATTGGGCAGTGAATTTGTGCATAATACTTCTTTTGGGGGAAAGGATAGTGACAGTGATTTTCTGTCAAGTAATTGTTGCTGTTGTTTTTCTGGTTAAAATATTAATATAAACTACCCTCAAATGAACGTGGATGAGTTGAGCTGATGACATATTTAAGCAATTTATGGATTTTAATGGATTCTCTTCCACATAAATGATTTTAAAAGCCTATAAGATGAATATATACGATGTATAAGCTATAATTTTTTCTGTTGGTGAATAGAACAAACACAAGCCTATATTTTAAAATAAAAGAGATCAATCTGGACTAACATTTATCAAGCTGCATCTAAAATAAATGGAAACAACCACTCCTTATTATTAATAGACCTGTTGACTAACTGTCCCTGAGATAAGGTATAATAATGTGACTTTATAAAAAGTCACGGTTGTGATTATTACAAAGAGAAACAATTAAGAAGGTGGAAATTGCATATACAAGTGAAGTCTGGACAGACTCAAAGAAAATACTGGGTTAATAAATAATGCACTAGTCAATAGATTAATAATTTTAAACCTAAGAAATTATCTGTACTAGGGGGAATGCTGGATAGAATTTAAGGCAACATTTATATATTTTTAAAAAGAAATCCATTTTAAAAGCAATTCTTTCGGTGGCAAAGATGAACCATAGCTTCCAAATTGTATTCTCTAATGTGAAGACTTGTAAATTACCTATTCTGAAGAGAACATTAACTATTTAGGTACTAGGTACTTCTGCACTTGTTCACATCATACCAGTTTTAAGAACAGCCTCAAGAGAAAGAGATGCCACAAATTAAACAATCAATGTTGCCTTTTTTTTTTTTTTTTTTTGGCAATTCATCACTGATCCAGCCTAACCCTAGTTAGCCTGTATACTAGGAAGTACAGATCACATAACATTGTAGAGTTTTAGGCTTGGACAGCAAGAAATATAACATAATAGAAAATGAAAATGCTCGATTATATAATGCCCCCTTCTAGTAAATAAAGTTTTGTAAATTCCTGCAGAATTTTACCCAAGGATGAATACACTTCTCAGACGATTGTTAAATCTGTTTGAATATTAATAATTTCTTATAGTCAATTTCCAACTTGTTAGGTATTAACTATATGTGATTACACTCCTCCATTGTCACCCTACTATTAATTTTTTTTTGTGGTACGCGGACCTCTCACTGTTGTGGCTTCTCCCATTGTGGAGCACAGGCTCCGTACGCGCAGGCTCAGTGGCCATGGCTCATGGGCCCAGCCGCCCCACGGCATGTGGGATCTTCCCAGACCGGGGCACGAACCCGTGTCTCCTGCATCGGCAGGCAGACCTCTCAACCACTGTGCCACCAGGGAAGCCCTCTTATTACTCTTTTTAAATAGGCTGTGTCCTCATGAAATAAAGTGATTTCTAATGTGGTGGAAGCCCTTGAGAGAACCAGTAAACTTTAGAAGAATTTGGTATAAATGCTGATGATGTAGACAGGAGAAAATCTGCATGTTGAGATTCAATTATATGATTTTTGAACCTTTCCATGATAACAAACATTGTCATTTGCAGCTGCCTATAGGGCTACTTATAATCCTCAAAGTGTAAAAGTATGTTTTAGGATTTGCTTCTCAATACTGCTGAAAAGTCAGTTTTTTTTAACAATGCCCAAATTTGACTTGAGATTTCCAACACGTCTTCTTTTTTTCATTTATATTTGTTTTTTGGCTCTGTTGCAATGCAACAGACACAAATACTTTCAGTATATTTCCCTAATGAAACCTATCTGCCAGATTTTGTGCATAGGTAATGGTAATTAGAATACAAATATATTCTTTTCAGGATATAGAACCATCAGGCAGCTGAACTGTATTCTTTTGCATACCCGTGGGTTATATTGTGAAGGAACCTAGTATACCCAAGGGGAGCGGGGTGGCAAAGGACCGGTGTGTTAAAGCCAATTATGTATCGTACATAAAAGTGCACATTAGCTACTTGAAAAAGTTCACATTTATTTACTGTCAAACCGTGTTAAACTTTACACTGGATATTAGTGATGGGTTCATTATTAACAGGTTTACACAAAGGGATGAAAAGAAAAGCAGAATTTTGCTGAAACAATTTACATTTCACTAGAACTTTATCATAAAATAAATTAATTACTAAATATAGGCAGAAGGAATATGGAAGAGTAATATTTATGTTTAATTTTACTTTTTAAAAAAGAATAGGCACCTTTTGTTCACTAGAAAGTTTGTGAGAAGTGCCCAGTGCCCTCTTTGGCCCCTGTTCAAGAACAAACAGAGGGGTGACAAACAATCTTTTCTAGATTTCACCACATTTGTGCAAGGCATGGCATAACTGGCTTCAAAGAGTTTTTTTTCCCCATAAAACACGTTCTTTTGGCCATAAGAAATTAAAATGTAAGAATAAGGACTAACTTGTCAAAGCAGAACACTGTATACAGTGGAAAATAAGTGAAAATGGGTAGAACTTACAATGACAAAGTGTAAGAAAAAACATTTGATAACATATGTGCAACCAAGAGCTTCACACAATATTTTCTCCAAACTCTAAAATTATTTTAATGACAATTATATATCAGTTGGACACAAATGTATTTATTTTACCCTAGCAATAGAACAAAATATAATTTCTTTAGCCATTTTTGAATAGGTCATTGTACAGTTGAGGAAACATATGAAATAAGGCCTGTGGCTTGATTGCTAGTGGTTAAACATGTTTTCAATCTTTGCCTTAATGTAAAAGGTTTGCAGTTAACTGCAAACTGATGCAGAATATCTCTCCTGCTTTTCCAAGTCTTGTCAGGAACAGTAAGGTACAGTAAATTTGTCCCACAGGATTTTAAAGCCTACGTCTTGTATATAATACAATGCAGGCCTACAAAAATGGTGCAGCCATATTTACAAATTTAGTTCACAAACTGCTGCAGTAAAATGGCTGGAAAGTTTTGTTTCGCTTGTCTCACAATTTCTCTAAACAGCAGCAGAATCTTAAAATACCTGGTTGGCATCTCTTTTCTTTGTAACAAATAATTCATTTTAGTATACTCTGTGTATATACAAAGTTTTTGTATGTTATATAAAAATTCACAGAACTGCAAGGTTCAGTCATCTTTTTTACACTGGAGAACCACAGGTCAACAGAGCCATCTCTTCAAGCAGAGTTTGAGGGAGCTGTATCAGGCCATGGAGCCTGTCTTTATTTACTAACACTTGCATGGGGCCGCTGGAATTCCTTAGCTGCACTATTAAAGACTTGTCACCAGCTGCATTTGTCCTTCTCTGACATCTCCTTCTGGAATACACCCTTCTTTGTTAATGGGGATTATGTAACCATCACTATTGCCCCTGCTGATCTGGTAGCACATCTGAAGCTGATGGCCAGCTCCAAGGTTTGGCATGCTCTTATAGTAAATGTCCTCGTTCTCACTCCTCCTGGATGGAGACAGGTCTTCTTCCATGTCGGGGCTGCTCTCCTGATATGGAGAGTCTCTAAGGTCGGGCATGCTTGTGTAAAGAGAGTCTCTGTTGGGGGACTGTAGGTGGTCCTCGGCCTCAGCTGTCAGCTGGGAGACGTAGCTGTCAGTCCCCTCGGGCTTCGCTTTCTTCTGGGGTTGGTACAGAAGGGAGTGAGTCCGCTGAGGAATGAGTGGTGCCTCGAGTTCTTTGTGATGGAGCTCCAGCCCTGGGTTGTCACTGTGCATTAAAGACGAAGCATCTGCCACGATAGCGTCATCTTCGCTGCTGCCCCCTCCAATCACAGGTTTGACTGGTAGTGTGAGCTCGAGGTTGTGAGCCTTGCTGCTGCCCCGCAGGTTGTTGTGCACTAATTCTGAAATGATCATCTTCTCAAAAGCGGAATCATTCAGACTTAGTCCACAGTCCACGACTTGCACGCTGTCATTATAGTCCCCCTTGCGTAGTGAGTAGCTGTTGTTAAAGTTACCATTTAGCGGTAGAGTATCCATGGCACTTGTATCCCTGGCATTGTTCAGTGAATGTCCTGAAACAGAAAAGGGAGGGGTTCGGTTACTGCCTCTGTTCCTTCCTCAAGAATCTTTACTTCTTTTGTACAAAACTTTTTAATGTCGTTCAGGACAAAGTTGTATTTGAAAGCTAACACTTGGAAAGTGCCAGGCTTTCCTGCATTCCCAACTGCAAACAGTTGCAACCCCTTAGATAACAGGAACAAGTGTGAAAGAATAATACTGTTTTCCAGGGAGGGAAGATGGTATACAGAATGTTGCTTTATCAATTTCGGGGAGACAGTAGTTATGAATTGATTTTTGGTCAAATCTCTGACACTCTTATAAAGACTTCACTCCATGCCCTTGCATAGTTAATGCAAAGCAATTCATTAGTGACATTTACGTTTTAAAGTACGAGACTATGGTTTATAAAAATAAAATTAACAGAATTTGTCCTAAACAACACTAAATTAAAAAGGAATAAGTCACATACAAAAACTGAAGGCAAATGTACAACATAAACCCACGTAACTGGCAAGCAACTCTTTAAACAACATTCTAACATTTCCTTTTTCTGGAGATGAAGTGAAAAAAAGAATGAAAAAATGGACAGACACAAAGAATTCATGTTAAACAAAGACAGCCGCCTCTCATACTGACTGGACCAGGGGCCCACAAGCACCATCCAACAACACGACAGACAGCAGGTGGAATGACTCACTTTGGACAACTCACATCATGTCTGTCTGCTCAGGCTATCTGGCCTAAGAGTAGCTGATATATAAAAGAAAGTAAAATGATTTATTGTAACATGATGAAGAATTTCTAAGCTTCTCAGCAACTTAGAGCAAGGGTTCAACAAATTAGATTACCAGCAATAGCAGCCTTTTACTTTTTCATTGAATATTTCTTATTATTTTGAACTTTTATTTGGTACTAATACTCTCTCTAATAGCAATGGCCCCAGGCTCCTATCAGTCAAAGTTTGCCTGCAGCCCTGCAGTCTGCATCAGTCACAGTGACAGCACCGAATGAACCAGCAGAGTCTACTACTGTACGAGACTGGCCCACAGACACCATGGGCATGGAGGTTAAACGCAGAAATGTTAGGAGATTTCTTAAGTATGGGTCACAGAAATTAAACCAAGAATAAATATCAACTGTGGAATGGGAAAAGGGTGTCAGCCTTGGCTAATATATTTTTATTTCTAAAGGAATGAAAGGTTGGATACGTCTGCTGAAGATATGAAAAGAGGTTCAGGAGGAAAAAAAATATGGTAACATGCTCTCTTTGAATCAGAGTTGTATTTTTCTACAGACACATAAACATGTAAACTAAGACATCACAGTGCTTCTCAGGCAGATGAAAAAAAAAAGGTTTTAGAGAAAATTAAATGATCTGTACCATGGAAAGTTAGGTTATTCATTCTCAAAATCCTAGAGAAAAAAATCACTTGTCTACAGATAGGTCTGGAAAAAAAAAGAATGAAATGATGTTATTGAAATGAAACTGACCACTGTGAGGCTGCTGCATTGTATGCAAGGCTTGGAGGAGTTTAGGAAAAAAATTAATTCTTCGAAAAAATAGGAAATTTCCCTTTTTAGTGCTCACTCCACTCTTAAAGCTGCAGATTATCCTAGAAAACTCAATTTCATGACCAAAAAATACCTAATAAATGCTCAATTAATTATCATTAGCAGAAAATGAGAAAATAGGTGGGTCATATTTATTATTGACTCATGTTATTTAGAAAATTCTGATCCAACTTCTACATTTGAAAAGGTGACAATTCGATTTGTATCATGTTCCAAGGCATGTCTGACAAAATGAAGTTATGATAGTTCTTTGCATGGCTTCCTTTAGCCTCATTGACACAAATCTCCAGCTTTATAAATTTATATATGTGTCACAAACTTTAGAAGATCTACTACTAGGAAACATTTGCTGTTTTAAATTATAAGTGACATGAGGATCAGTTGCTAGCATTTGTTTCCTCTGTCGAGGTTTGATCTTGTCACTTTTCTTTTTATTGTTGTTTAATAAATATAAAAATATATACTGGGTAATCCAAAAGGTGTTTTCTATGATATACTGCAGATTTAAGCACATCTTTGGCTGGTTTTGAAGAGGCAACTTTTTCTGCCCAAGTTCAGGTAATTCACTGGAAGACTTTCCACAGCCTGTAGCAAGATTACTGTGGGAATGCAGAAATGATAAGTCAATTATTAAGCATTCTGGTTGACAGTACCTCAGGCTTTGAAGAGCAAATTATTTCAGCATTGCATGTACTTAAGTATGGACAGCATTTGCTACAGACCTCTATTACTGACAAAAGGCAGTACATATAGATGTACTGTTTGAATTTGGAAACATTTGAGTTGCAAATTGTGAACCACTTGCCCGCTGAGTCTACTTCATGACTGCTAGTTATGTTTTAATTGTGCCGGTTAAAAATCATGCTGAAAAAATTTACATTTGATAGGCAAAGTTAAGTTTTACTCCCATACTTGTCTCTCTGTAGGTTGCTAGAGGAAAGCATAAGGAAAGTAAGAAAAACAAGAGAATGAAAAGAGAAGCTGCAGTTACGTTAAAAAAGAATGTCAAGAAAAAAAAAAAACGGAAACGAAGTTCTGTGTTTAATTTAGTGGCAAATATCAATCACAAATAAAGATTATATGCTAACTGTAATTATGCAATAACTTTCACCAAACTCTTGAAAATTCTGTTAATATTAAATATATATATATATTTTTTTAAATAAATAAGCTATTAGAAAATACAGTAAAATACAGGATGAGTTAGTGACAATCTCTCCCCCTCCCCCAATAAAAAACTATAGGTATAAACTGACTAATATTAACTTTATTCTTAGTTTTTTAAGAAGAAAGAAAAACTACCATAAAGCTGCACTATACTATAGTTTGGTTACATTGATAATGCTGGATGTAGTTTTCTATACCTAGGCATCCAAATTATTAGCTAAGTCATGCCAGAAGCAAACTCCGTCAGCAAGCTTTAGAGTCAACTGAATAGTATATTACGTAGATAGGATACCTCTAAATGATATAAATCTTGAAGATGGGCTCTCAGACCATGTGATGTCAGTCCTGTAATAATATATTAAGATTTATGCCACCTGTGTCAAAAACATGGATAATTATTGGTAAATACTATCATGACTGAATTTTTACTATAATATAGTGCAGTTTTAGAAGCCTGGCATGGGCAATACCATAATGCTTTTTAACTGAGAAATTAAGGATGTAATAGTAAGTATATGGCAACTTGAGTGTTCTAGAAAGAGGGCAAAGATCAGAGTTCTGTTTAGCAGCAAAGAAAGGAGGTTGTATTCGTAAGTATAAGCACACCTGGTGAGTTAAACACAGGAGCTGAAGGGGCATTACATACAACTGTTTCAGCGAGCAATGTGTTATAGGGGTTGTTAGTGCCGTGGGGTCGAAGAAGAGGGTTTGTTAGTAGGTAATTGCCAGTCATTCCTAAAGCAAAGAAACAGAAAAAAATACATCAGTTCTCTTATTTTAGTGTTGCAGTTGCAGTAAAGTACTTTTCGTATTCATCAAGGGTAGTGGATAAGTTGGCAATGGAAAATCTGCTGAAATTATCTGACTGTATTTGAACTACTAATTTGAAGGAGAAAGGGAAGAGGGAAGTTAAATTTCAGCAATTCACAGGTGCTTTCTAAGTCCCCCAAGTAAACACCTGCTGAGGATGACATTTACTAATTTATACAAAATCACTGTTAAACAAAAATGGCAATTAAATGCACAGAGATCAACATTATGTTTCAAGATGTTACTGCTTAATATTAAAAACCTAACCACTGAGGCCCAAAAGAGGGAATCTCAAACTTTCAGAATTTACAGGTGTGGGATTATCCCTCATGAAAACATCGGTGTTAATACCAACTCTGATACAAGCAGGAGGAAAAACAACTTTCACAAACAGGTAAAAAGTATGACACACTGCACCAAGCTTCTCTTAGTAAATGCAAGAGCACACATGCTGAGGGGAAAAAGAGACTGTGTATAATGAATGATTAGACCATTCACAAATTCTATCCAACAAGAATTCTCCTTCTGTAATCTTATTTGCCAGGTTTCAAAAATGAATCATTGAATAATTCATTTCCTTTTTGATAGTCATCTTAACAGAATTAGGTAAAACATCAGAGCAATGGAATAAACACACATTTCACTCATTCTAACTGACAAATTACAAACCTTTCAATACTTATCAAACATGCATTTTGCATAACTAATGTAATTTGGCTAAAAATATTTTAAAATTCAAGTTGGTTTTGATGCCATACATGTGCTTTTCTTCATTTTAAACCAGAATCTCATCAGAACAATGTCAACAATGAAAAATGTCTTTCATACTACATTGTGATAAAATATAACATATTATATTACAAATCAGTACATCAAAACTGAAATTACCTGGATAAATTACCTTTCCAAGAATATATACAATAATATATGATTTTTTTCAAAATAAATTGAAATTTACTAAACTTGTACTCAGGAATATGTGTCTGTACATGTACTTGTGCCCTTATCTGGCTAAATTATTTTATTTGCCATATTATTTTAAGTTGGAATTATATTGATTATGTGATAAGTTTAAGGCTATGATTAAATAATTAAATATTATTTAATTAAATAATAATTCAAATATAAAAATTACTTTGTAAATTATCATGTAGTTTAATTATGTGTTTATGAAGAGTTAGTATAAATGTTTTGACATTTACTTTTTACTTTTTGAAAGAAACGTAAAAACAGGAGAATTTTACAAGTAAGAATTTTCACTGCAAAACTGGTACTGTTTAATGTGAAGAGTAGTTATTCTAATTATATTAATGTTTTAAGAAGAAAACTTTCATAAATGTACGTTTAGAAAGAATAAATCTGTATTCACTAGGAAACCATTTTAATCTGTGGCAAAGCACGTTCTCAGAAATTACTTTTTCCAGCCTCAGTCTGTTAACGTGGTATTTGAAATCATACTTTTTGCATTACATTATTGAATAAAAAGAATTTATATGTACTTTAATAAAAGATAAAAGATGACTCAACAGGTTTAAGAGCTTGTGATATAAACCCATTTGAGAGGAAAATTCAGCATTTTCTCTAGAATTATTGCAAATTGGCAAAAGGCACAAAATTTAAATTGTAAACTCAAATTTTCCTAGTAACTGACCTTGATTAAGTGTTGAAGTGCTATTGATGTCACCTGAGATAAAAGATGATTCAGATTGTTTTCTCACAGTGTCATTCCACATCCTTCTTATACGACTCTATTAACATAAAATAGCAAGACATATGTTATGTTAGTTTTCCCAAGTTTACCTTACATTAGACACACAAAGATGTACCCTGAACAATCTGTGCAGAATTATCTTTTGACCTTTTTTAAAAAAAATGTGCGTTGATTCTGTTCTAGAACGAAGGAAGTCTATACTCTGTTGCTTCTCTACTAAGGAGTATTTAATTTTCCAATCTTAAAAAGAGTGTTCACTTATTGTCTTTTTTTAAAGTGGAGATGGCTAGTTAGTCAACAAATGTTTACTGAATGCCTACTGAGTCCTGTGCTATGTGAGCTTAGGATATCTAATGATTATGACATACTTCTTAAAAAAGTATACCTCTCAAAAAAGGATGTTTACACCTAAAGAAACACCTTGAAGAAATACTTAGGAAGAAATTAAAACCAAAATACTAAGAAGGCAAGTATTTGCTACCTAGACCATTATAATGAGGAGACAATTAGTACATCTGAACAGAACATGTCTCAGAAGGCTTTCCATAAAGAAGGTTAATTAAAGATGCTGTCAAACTCTTTGTTACCTGTGTGCCAGAGGAATACCGAGCACTGGTTCTGGTGGCGGACGCCTTCACTGAGCTGTGAGGGCTCTCAGTTGGGAGGCTGCCGCAGCAATATGAGTGTCTGAAGCACTTGCTATATTCTTTTCGTACCTGCATTGAATAACCACAAGACCAAGGGATTAATATAAACATACTTGCTCCTCTCTCTCTAATTAAATGAGCCGACGAGACAAGAAGTCCCACTAACACTTTTCCGTGGAGATTACAAAGTCAAGTTCAATTGAAACTGGTGAAACGGTAATCAGAAAAACACCTCTGTCCACTACACTGGCTAGTAGGATCTTTAAAGGGTGATATCGTATGTAGAAATGCTTTATATACCCTGTTTTCATTACGCAAATGTTATTTATTAATACAATGGTAATATCTTAAAAGCCTTATTCTAGCTATAGCCTCAGTAAACCCAATTTTCTATTTCATGCTAAGAAAATAAGATAAAAAAATTTAGTATTTTCCTTGCTTAATTACATTTAACCACTTGTAATTCAGTCATTTAAGGTTTATATGCTTCGTGTCCTCTTAGGTAGGTCAGCACATAAACTTCTTTTACTAGATTGCATGGTGTTGCAGGTGACCTCTTTATAATGAAAGACTACTTTGGCACAAGAATAAAGGAAAAAAAGTCCTTTGATACATATGTCATTAATTAGGATGGAATGTTTTCTTCATTTTCTGATGTGTCTAGCTCTAACATTTAGTGTAGAGAGTCTAAGATGCCTTTTCACTTCATTAGCACACAAGGGAACTATTTAAGCAATTTCCATTCACATTAATGAGTTACCCAGGTAATTTCCCTTTTCCCCTGAAGTTTGGACATATGAATAGATAGAAAAGTTGTCAGGCCTAAAAGAAAGTTGAAACGTTAAAAAGTGAGGTCCAAACAACTGCTAAATAATAGTGCCCCACTTAGGTGGTCAAGAATTGGGAGGACGGGGGCGAGTTCTGGATTCTGTGCAGCTTTGCTGGCATATAAACAGGTTTCATTGAGGCTAAGAGCCAGACTTTGAAATTTCAAGACAGAAGAAGGAGAGGCTGCATAAGAAATTATTTTTTCTAGTAGGTTACAAAAAACACTCAAAGGCTTCCCCCTCCCTGCTCCCCCCCCACCATTTCTATGCTCAGTATCTGCCTGCAAAGGCCAAAACTTTGACACTTATTCCTTGGGAAATTAGAGAATTAAAGTCACTAATGACCTTTTAAATCTAAGTGCACTTGAATTTTCATCCTCTTAGCTTTATTTAATTATATCTATTAGAACAAATAACAATGGGGGTGAATTTTCAAAGCATTTTCTCTGCCTAAATATGCTCACTCAAGCAGTTAGAACCATGATTTTAACTAAATCATCTTATATTCTTAACAATTCATCCTGACAGCACCCAATAGGACATATTCAAGACTAAGTAGAACTTGTTCAAAAGAAATGTAACACAATGACTTTAAAATGTAATTGCTAATTAAAAAGCATAGCAAAATCTCTGTAAAATTAATATACAAATTCTATGAGGAAATAATGATGACCTCATATTTTTTCTGCTAAGTTTATGCTTTGTCAAAAACATTTGACAGAAGGTATGAATATGTGATTATCTGCATGTATATAAAATGCTCATCTATGCAGAAAATATTTAAAAACCAAAGTAATTACAAGGTTATACCTGTATAATGTTTAGAAAGTTAAGGTTCAGTGTTATTAAATAATATATGATACCTCACAAAAATTTCTGTACACTTAATGGCTATTAACTGCTCTGAAATCCTATATAACCAAGACAATGGCAATCAAAATGGTATTTTATCCAAATAATACCCTCCGGTGTTGGTTTTGCCTAATGCCTATTGCTGTGAATGTACATTATTATGTCAGCATTGCACATTCCACTGTCATTATCTCACAATTATAGCTTATCAGAACTGATGGAAGTAACAACACTATCATCTTGTCAGGACTGAAAACATAATAGTTTTCACTTTCACACCTCTATTTCTCTGTTCAGTTTAGTGACCAACTAGTAATAACAGAATAAAAAGACTACATTAGATATGCAGACAGGGAAAGGATGACACCTGGTGATAGGCATAGACATTTCAAACTTAAATGGTAGCTAAGCTATTCTCATAGGTTTAACATCTTCTTGTAATAGATTAAAGTTTTTCACATTCAACTTTAATTTTTGAGTCAGTTTTGCTGACTCCACTTAACATTAAATCAGGACAAAATAATAAGATGTGAGATATGAAATTGCTGGGTTTTAAGATCTTTCAAAATTACTCAGAAGACAACACTGATATTCATTTTTCTGTATATCTTGTGCTTTTAAAATTTAGACCATTTATCCTTATACTCAATTTTGTTTTGAACCACTGCATTCCTTTTATTGAGCAAAGAACAAGATTATTTAACTTTTTATTTTTCTTGTATACCCTTTGCACAAAGCATTTTTGTAGACTCCAAAGAAGAAATCTTAACATAAGTATCTAGTTTATAATATTCCCAAACTGACATTCAAGAGATGATTGGTATTGACACATTTTACATGTGAAGCCTGAGCTTCCTGACTTTCATTACAATTAATTTATGATTAAAATATAATGCTATTAATAATATTCCAGGTGTAACTTAAAATCTTCCCTATTATATATATTATTTTCAAATCAAAGAACAAGTTAAGCAGAGCCTCTAAGTGTTTTCACTTACTTTCTTTTGGAGAGCACAGTGAAAGATGAAAATGAACACTCCCTGGAAAGCATTAAAGATGGTGAAGAGATAAGCCATCACAATAGTCTCGTCATTAATAAAAAGCAACCCAAATGACCAGGTTAGGCCAAGAAGACACAGAAGAGCGAAAGCGCCAAGTACCCAAGACCTGAAAAAATAAAGTGAATTTCATTAACAGGTTCAATGAGAGAACAACACATATCACACTTAAATATTAACATATCAGTAGTAGCAGTTGACTTTATGTTCACATTCAAATTCAACAGCATTTTGGCTTTAACCTTTCATTGATTAAAGAAAGAACAATAGCATTTAGTACTGCAGTCTCCAGTGAAAACAGCAACAGCAGGTATGACCTTTTCTTACTCAGAATAAACAAGGCATGAAAACTATATTAAAATACAAGGTGTAAAACATCCCCCGTGACTTTATTGTCTTTTATGTGCATTTTGGTAAAAGAAATTAAGGAGTCCTTAATTAGTTTACTCCTATACTTTTATTCCTGTGGTGCACTCAAGACACTGAATAATGTGACACATACAGAAAGGTTAAATGGCAGATAATCACTTAACACCTAAACCTCAGATTCTAAGAAACTAATCTTAGGTGAACCTAAGGTTTTATAACTGAAGCATGAAGAAGCCTAGCTGAAATGAGACAAAAACATGAGAACAACTTCAAAATAAAATAATTTGGGAGAGATTTCATCATGAATAGCTTAAGGAGAAAGGAACTGTAGAAAATAGGACGGAATGAAAGGATTTAAAGTCAGTGCATTCCATGTCTAACTAATGATCTTACTTGATAAATGGCTTATTATCTTCATAGCTAGAAAGCATTATAAGCAGAAAAGAGAAACAAAATTATTAGACAGAATTAAAATAGGAAGTAATAAGAAAGCATTTATATATTTTATAAAATTAGTCAAAACTAAGAAAGTCAAAATGCAGAGGCAAACAATTAAAAAATAAAGGCATATTATAGTTTAAAATATTCTAGCAAATAAGATATTCCAAAATAATTATAAAAATTAAGGGCAATTCATGATATTGACAGATTTGTAAAAAATATAAATCATGCCATAAATTTGTTAATGTAGGGTTCTACCTTACCCAGGTAAGTCCGTATTATAGTAGCCATCACAAACACGGTAATTACTGGTGTAGATGAGAAGACAGAAAGAGGAAAAGGAAGAAAAGAGAGAGATGCTAAAGATTAGCTCTCTCTCTTACCATGCAACATGCAATGAAGCTGGCACTAACCTATCTAAAACTTTATCTAATTAAAAAAAAATTACCCTTACTATAGATCTGCCATTTTTAACATTAAAAATATTTTCCACATCCCATTATAACCAACTTGAACAATACCTCCTCAAATTTTAAATTAACTCATATTTTTAAAAATTACTCTGAAAATGCTTTTATAAGATGACTTAATGAATCAACAGCTATCAATTTTTTGTTAATTAGATAACATTTTTCCATTGATAGGATATTGCAGTTTTTTTCAACATTGAAATAAAGTAAACATTTATTTAATTATCATGAAAACAACAGACAATCTCCAAGTTAACAATAGTAATGGAGTAAATTCTCTTAGGAAAACAGGATTAGAAGTAGAAACTGCTCAGAATCCTTAATAAATCAAAAAGTCATTTAACAAAACAAACAATATAATCATATCAGTCATGCAAACAGGAACATCATTTTGAATTGCATTTTAAATTCAAATGAAATTGCTACAGTGATATGGAATTTCCACAAAGCCACTGAAACAATTTCTTGGCTTTAGATCAAGACAGAAATTATTACCTAATTTTTGACCAATGTCTGTGACATGGTAACAGTGAGACTCAACCTTGATCAGTAAAACTTCATTCTGAATAATTTCTACAGGTGAAAGATGGTATTCATGTATTCCCTGTGGAGAATACCTTTCACTTAGTTTGTCAAGCAGTAAAATTAAAATACGAAATACTTACTTAATGTTTTCCAACCTGCTAGAATCTGGTTTCAATGTGTTTGAGTGCTTCACCATTTTGCACAATGTGATCACCAGGAAGATAATATTTAGCTGTTACAACAAATAAAGAATTAGATCACTATGACAAAAAGTAAAAATTATACATTTTGGCAAATATATTTAATGGATTAATGCAGTTAAATATGAATAACACGAGTATATGGTAGACACTGATTCAATTCTAGTTTACTTATGCAATGATCAAGTTGAGTCTAAATAAAAAATACTCTGGCTACATATGATCGATTTTTTAATAGATCATTTGACATGAAACTGAAACCTCATTAAATCAGTATCATGTGGTGATGATTAAATAAATTAGACAGCCTAAATTAGTTTCTTTAGCTAGAAGTACTCCAGGGTCTAAAAACCATCTAATGAAAACACAGAAGTGAATTCCTTAGAAGGGGCATTTACATCATGTAGCTTATAATGGAAAGATCCCTGAATTTGGGACCCTAAGAATTAGTTGAAAGTCTAGTTCTTGATTTTGACTGATTAAATGAGGAAAATTAACATTTGCATACTCTTTTTATAAGGTAATGGTGAAGATCAAGACCACCATTTCTTTCTTCCTGATGTCTCTATACTGTATGGAAGTAGGTAAATTCCAAAGGCTGTTTTGAGTCCCTCTAAACACTCAGTTGTACAAAGAATGTAGATGCAACAAATGCCAACTGGGGAAGATAGAACCTGACATGGAAGCACAGTCTGGCAGGTCAACTTGAGAGAACTCAGAAGGTAAGAGTTGTGTTTTGACTGAGGAAAGTTAAAGGTTTGTAATTTGCATTTGCTTCTACGGAAGCCTGGCAGACGCTGGATGGAGTGAAGGCAGCTTCCATTTTTATGCTCTAAAAATAAAACTATGCTAAATCGCTCCTGGATTTTTTTGACATTTTATTTACTTCAGATTATTACTTTAAAAAAGACAAAATTAAGTTATTTTGTGAGGATTAAGTGATTTAGTGAAGGCACAAAGGGTATACTCAGAAAAGGACCTGTTTATATGTAGAGACGAAAGCAATTCCTTGGTAGTAAATAATCCACGTAACTTTGTTACAGTAACGTGATTATTTTTACTGAGTCACAATATCATCTGATAAAATGATAACATTATTTTCCTCATTCATCACCACTTCTGATTTTATAATTAGGAAAAATGATGTAAGGCAATAAAGAAAATTTCCAAGTCCTTCCTAACGAGTTTAAGGAACAGAGCAAAGGCTTTAAGCCGCGTATCAGTCATTTTGTCTACTATGCCTTGTTATTTCTCTTAGATGTAGAATTTCCTCTTAAGGACTAAAATAGGCATAATTTGCAAGTGCTGGCAGACAGCATTCCATTAATTACTTGAGGACAAAAGAAGCTCTTTGCTTAAAAAAGTACTTAAAAATTAATTTCTTAAAATACTTGTCTAGAGAAAAAGTAAATAAATTGGTAAAAAAATGTCTAGCTTTATATTCTGAAGATTATAAAGTCCAGTTGGTCATACATAAATAAAGGCTTCCATTTTCAGGAATATTACAATATGATTCATTTCATTCAACAAATATTTATTGACCTTACTGCTCCACACAAGAATGTGCTTATTGTATAGGGATAAGACACAAATTTTTGCCTTTGAGAAATTAGGGAGATCTTTCTGATAGTACAATGAATACTTAATTTGATTTTAAAGAAGCATGGTACAGTTTATCTCTAATTTTTTTAAGGTAGTGCTTTTACTTTTTATTTTATATAACAGTAAGCCTTAACTAGGACAATTTAAGAATGGCTAAAAACAAGTACTCCAAATAATCATAAAAACAAACCAACCAACCAAAACCCATATAAGGAAACAAAGTAGTTACAACACTTATGTAAGAACGGCTGCCCTAACAGATTCAGAATCAAAATCTTTTAAACCTCCTAACCCTTCTTTTTGAATGTCCTGATAAAACTATTTCTTTTATTACAAACTTCCAGACCTAGGGTTGCCCTCTACCCCAACACCTTTTGTTAAATAATTTTCTGAAGCACAAAAGGGCCACAATTTGGAGCTCATTATTTTCTAAGCATATTACTTATCCCCTCAGGAATAAAATAATAGTAGTTGTAGGAGTACATTCAAGGAAAGAAAAAAAGTTATTACCCACCACAATGTCTAAACCACAAGGAAAATAAAGAATGTGAATGTGAAAAAAATGTGGATGTATCAAGTATTATGCTATAAAAAGAAAATGAGTACAAAATGTGAACTTGTGGGGGTTACATCCATCCAAACAGATTTTTCAATGAAGAAAAACCAGCCCCCACACACACAAAAAATCAGTTATTTAAGAGCTAGCTTATTTTCCAATAAAATTGAAATGAAAATGAAGTGTACCTATGAAAAATAGAATTAAAGCTTAAATATGATACAAAGACATTTGTTTCTTGTTAAGACAGAACTAACCAACTTGAAAATGCCACAAAAAACATATTTCATTTAATCCTTAAAAAACAGACTGTTAGATGCATCTCTCCTCACCCTACTGAAGTTTTTAATGTTATATATGTGTTCAGTGTTTCTTCCTAGCTACAAAGATAATACAGTCACAAGATATAAAGCTCAGAAAATTACAGGAAAAAAAATACCCCACCCACAACATATAATCCTATCTCCAGAGGTAGTAGGTAGCACTTGGATAACCATTTTACAAATCTGTGATGTTAATTATCTTGCCAAAGACTACTTAGCTACTGTAATGTCAATGCTGAGATTCAATATACTGTCTTCTGGCTCCATGGCCCAGTCTTGTCAACAAAATTAACCAGTTTATTCTGGTTGAGAAAATTAGCAGTCTTCTAACAAACAAAAGATATACTAGTTTTGTATTTTTTTAAAAAAGGTTCCACTTCTATAAAAAGTAATCTGATTTACCACTCAGTCAGAGATGACCAATGAGTTGAAGATATAATATTAAATTAATTAATACATAGAACACACTATCAAAGAAATCCTAAATGACATACAAAGGTGTGCTCTTCAGATGATTTCCACTTGATGGGCTTGCCATAACAACCAATTCTCCATTTCCTTTGTGAAACACTACCATCCCATAATCAGCAAATAGCTAAAACGTCCACACACTTCTATTCCCACTAGCCAAATTGTACTTTGAACAGTTATTTGCGTTTTCTTAATCCTGTCTGTGCTAGTTATATTCATACACAGCTAAATATCACACAAACCCATAAAACCCGAGTGGGGAAAGAAAGCTATTGTTTCTAGCATATTTAAAATCAAATGTTTCAAGAAGATGTTTTAAAAGTGAGTCTCTTTAAAAACAACTTAAAATCCTAGAAAAATAATCATAAAACCACAGAAGGACTCTTGCAGTCAGGCTGTTTCACAAGTGTCTGTGAATTCTCCAATTTACAGAAACTGAAAATAAAATTTTAGCCAACGCACTAATGGTTAAGTTGCCAAGAAATTTAGTTAAATCCAACACTAATTTAGTCTTTGAAATACAACGACAATATATAATTACTGAGGCAATGGTATCTTTAATAGGAGAAAATAACATCATTGTCAGACAAAGTAATTACGAAAAAAGGTATGCAAGACTTATTGTGAATCACAGCGTAACAGCAAAAACTGCTAAGCGTGAGATATTTTTCTTTTCCTCAACTCCGCATTAAAAAAATTTTACTAATACAAATTATTTACCAAAAAAATGTCTTATTATTTAGGTACTGAACATTTTAAAACATTGCCACCAAAATATATGTGAGTGAAATATTTTCTGGAATTAAATAGAACACTTACTGAAGTGTTAACAAATTCTTTAAACTGTGGTTTTAAAGTTCTCTGATTTTCTCCAGTATCTAAAAATGTAAATGCTAATTTTTAGTTTCATGGATAAAAACTGTTCCTATGATCTTTTTCAGGAGGCAATATACTCTAATAAGAGTTATAATTTTGTATAATAAAACATTTCAATAGATTTTCTTCTTTTCTCTTCTCTTGTTCTCTTAAAATGTAACTATGGGAATCAGAACAAGAAATAGAGGGGGCAGAAAAAATCTTTGATAAAATCTATTGTCCAAAATAGTCACTTGAAGACCGAAAACCTTAGTTTCAAATGACGTACTGAGTTCTTTCTTCTTATCATTTTCCCTATGACATAACTGGGTCTTTCTAGCCATATACTTCTGTTAAACAGAGTATTTTGGGATAGGTTGAAAGGTGCTATGCATCAATGAGAAATGAAAAAGATGGAGTTACAGCTATGTACATAAAGATTGTCTACAGCTGGTATACATGTCATTAATCATTCGTGTAGAAGCCTCTAGTAAGTACAAGTTAACAGGATTGTGTTACATGTTGTATGTCAACTCACCAGTCTAAATGCCCACACTGAAGATTAAGTTTGAAGATGAGGCAACTCATCCAGGAATTAATCAGATTTTAACTCTGCTGTGTGTGTGTGTGTGTGTGTGTGTGTGTGTGTACAGGTAAATAGGTAGATGGGTACCTCTTAATAGAATTCTATGTGAAAGAGTGAGACCAAATTAAAAAGAAAAGAATTCTATTCAGCTAAAAAGAGTTAAATCACTAAATGGGGCATTCTTTCTCTTTCAATAACAAATAATACTCTTCTATCTATCCCCAAAAATAATTTCATAAATTACTGTTTAAATAATCTGTCATGTAATTTGCTGATAAAATTCATCACTACTTGATGATACGGCTTAGCTAATCCTCACCCATATTGATGAACATGAAAATACAAAGAGTTTAAAGAAAGAAAAAGGTACCATAGATTATAGGAGTGCACAGTTTGTTTTATAGTTATCGACCTGCTCAATTGAATCATATCCATTTGAGCTTAGCAGCTTAAAATTCATTCCAAAGCTTGCCGTCCTGACATGGATATGATAAGACACAAGAACAGAAACACCACTCTGAAGTAACCTAACTGAACTGCACATGTTCTGACCCTTTTTATCCTCCCTAGAGCTTTTGCTACCTGGCAAATGCAACTCTAAAACTGCACTTGTATCTCCAGATCTTTGCTGTTAGCCAAGCAGAAACCTATTTCTCCCTGGGACTAGCAGCCAGAGAGGTGTTCTCTGAGGAAGACTTCTAAGTGAGTGTGTGAGCTGAACTCTTACTGAACTGAATTAATTATTAACGATGCAGATGGAGCTGTCCAAATGATAAGAACAGCTCCTGACGTGTCATGATCCAAGCTTTCATTAAACCATTTCAGGCATACTAATGGTTTCCCACTGCTCATTACTTACAAGCACTTTTCTCATAGATATAATAACTCTAGCGCCTGTAGGCAAGACATTCTATAGAAATACAGAAGTAGGAAGTTTTATGTTCCATAACATGTTTTTTTCCTTCATTGAAAATTATTAAAAATGTACTTATTTAATACTACTAAGTTATGTGATTTCAATTCAGAAAAGCTGGAAATGCAAAACTATGCTTTCTAGGAATATCAATAGGTACTTTTTGTTATTCCTTAAAAGGACAGTATACAATATAATTTATATTGTATAAATTTTTAAACTGTGTCTGAACTGACTTTTAAATGACCTATATCACCATAAGGATATATACAGGTAAATATATTAATACTCAACAAACATGTGCTGTACAATCACATATCTCACTTTAGGTTACATTTGAGATGACGTTTTACACTTCAATACCACTCTGTCTTTCTGTGTTGGGACGATTAGAGGGCAAAGCAATTGCAGGAGAAGAATTACTCCCAGGATCTGTACTGTGATTGCTACCTGCTGTTTTGTTTTGTTTTGTTTTTAAGTTGGGAACACCAAAGCCCTTCACATCTCAACGTAAATGACTTGGTAAAGGATAATAATGACAAGACTAAAAAATAATGGTAGGCTCTCACTATAAAAGGGCAATATAATAAAATGTCCTTTACCTCTTTTCTTACTGGAAGCTGAGTATATATGAACATTAACTCCTTTCGCCCAGTGAAATATTTTTTAATACTCTAAAGACAGTATTTATCTTCAGAGATAGAAAATAAACAAAACTGCAGTAGGACAGAAGTATAGATCAAATATCCCTAAAATGATTTTTACAATTTTCAAAGTATCAGTATGTTCAGCCAAGGGGTCAGGGAGAAAAAAAAAGCTTTAGTTTTTAAGGATCATACCCCTTTCATATCAGCTGTTTGTCGTTTAATTCAAGATAGGCTTAGGCTGTGCTAGCATAAGCAAAGAACAAAAAATTGGGACAATCATCTGGATTGAATAATTCTGATGAGAAATCAGCTTTCCTAAGAACACTTGAGAGTGTTTTTTACTGGTTCGATTCATACAGGCATTCATCTCAAATTTTCATTTTGCTTTCATAAGTAATTGTATAAAAGAATTCATTTTAGCGACAAAAGTAGTTTTAAGTTTCCTTGAACTACTAAATTTTTTTCTTAATTTTACTGACGTACTAGTAGCTATAATTGTAATACTATTAACAGTAGAAATATCTTAATAAGCTTATTTGTGTCACCTTTTTTAAAGAAAAAACCTTAATAGGAATAAACAGTTACAGGCAATATATAAACTTGATTGTTTCATTTTCAATCTTCTAATGGTCAATAACACTTATTTGTAACAGCATGATGCTAAAACCGAGTGAAGTTTTAAATCCAAATATTTTAGCTTTTTAAAAAAATTTCAACTATATTTGAAATATTTGACTACTGATAATTTAAGTTAAAAAATACCTTAATGTCATTATACTTAAGTTGTATCAGGTTTATTTTAAAATAAAATTTCTTAGAAACCAATATTTTTATTTGGTATTTTAAGTCTTAGAAAAGTAATTTTATTTCTAATGAGTTTAAAATTTATTTAATATTTATTTATTACGCTAAGCTTAAAAAAACCTTTTTTATGCCCTAAAAAGAATTTAGGGTGTGGACATTTATTTAAAAGTACTAAATTACTGTGTGGAAATGAAGATAATAAATATTAAGCTAATGTTCTTTTACTTCCATAAAACATTCAATTCATAAATGCTACACAGGCTTGGTGCAGAGCTAATACTATAGATTTTAAAGATGTAACTTCGTGAACTAAACCTCTTAACAAAAAATTTCACTACTCAAAACCAAAATATACTATACATATCAGTTATTCCTTTCTAATTATCAAACTACTTTAAAATCATACAATCTTAACATAAAGATTAATACCTGACATTTTTGCAAATTAAATTACAAATGAGGGAAAAGTATTTCTTAAAGGAAAGAGTGTTTTTAAAAATAGTACTAATTAGCAAGTGTATAAACTCAATAATGATATCGAATGTAAAATATACTACATAATTTTATTCTGTAAGCTAGACATGCTTATAAATCTTTGAATGCACAGATAAATTAACAGTAAAACAAATTATCCCTGTTTCAATTGTACTGCTAAAGCAGCAAGCTAAAAATGAAGGAAAAATAGAGTCTGCTTACCAGAATAATGAAGGTAACAGGTCCAATGAAACTCCATATGAAATAGTTATCAACATGAAGCCAGCAACTATTATGAAAAGAAAAGAATATTAAGTAGCTTCAATGGATGCTCAATATCACAAGTAGAGCAAAATTTTAAAAATCTAACAAGCAAAAGTATCTTTACACTTACCTTTGAAAATTAATTTATCATGGGCAAGAACAATTTGAATAATTCTACTGTTCTTCACTTTAGGTTTTAAATTTGATAAAGACATACATAATTATGCTTATATGGGGAAAACAATAACCCCCCCACCCCAATCCTGATGGTTAAGACCTCTGACTTTACTAAGAAAAACACGAAACTTGGTATTCCAAATTGTCTCATTTTTAAAAAGTTCTTATCTTCAAAATTTGCCTTTAGATCTGTATCTGAGCTAAAATGTTTAACCCTATGGAACATAAGAGATTAAAAAAATAAGTGGTCAGATGTAATGTTTGTTGCAAAACAGTATAGCACAAATATAACACCTCAACTGGGAATGGATGAATACTAGAAAAAAAAATCAAAGCATAGAATTCATACTGTATTAGAGTAAATGATGCATAAACTTATTAAGACAGATTTTACTTAGTGGTTCATTTTTCATATAACATCAAATCCCCAATGAATTTCTTTTATTTGTCTTTCATCATCTGTGTAGTCAAAAAGCTTTCTTTAGTCCAAAGAATCTTTATATAACTAATTTTATCAAAGGAAAAAATAAACAGAATTGGAAAGCAAATTCATGCCTCTAGCAAATAAAATCCTTAGAAACATGGTCTACCTTCTGTCACTTTCCATAAATATATTTTTTTATAAACGAATGACAGTGACTTATTTTAATCCTTTCAAACTGCTTGATAAAATATTATCAAAGTAAAACATATGGGCTGAAATGTGGTACTGTCACAACTCAGAACGAGAGTTACCTAGAGGGTTGGCTGCACAAAGAGAGCTAATGAAACATTAGCTTAAAAACTGAATAGTTAAACCTGTCAGATGCTTTAAGCTCAGAAAAATTTTTACCTAGTATCTTTCTAAGGCCAAAAAGTTATTTACTTTTTCAATTTGTTAGAGGTCAATCTTTTGTGTTAAAAAGAAGTCCATAATTTAGAATATGCCTTGCCAGAGTACAAATCCTCTCAACCTAGAAAATTACAAAAGACTTGATTGTAACTTGTGCATGGCATGCCCATTTTCTTACCAATAAGGCTTTCAGATGGTATTTTAGTCTGTCAGGGACCCTCACTGACAGCTAACAGGCTTTAAAAAGTTATTCACTTGAAAAACACTCAGGTCACTTGCAATTACTTACGCTTTTTCTGTTCCATAGCTCTTATAGTCAATAGCAGCTGAAACGCCAACCACTGTGGCAGGGAACAAGTAACCGGCAACATAGTAATATTTCTTCCTTGAATATTCACTTTCAAAAACTTCAACTAACATCAGATAGAGCTGCACACCTTCTAGGCACATCCAAGCAAAAGCAGCCAGAAAGAAAAAGTGTAGAAGTCCTGCAAATATTGGGCATGCTATCTATAAAGGAAAGAAGCAAAAAACACAAGAGAATATGGGAATATAAACAGCCCACTCTAAAACTAAACAATATTCACCGATAGTACTCACTACTGTCTTTAAGACATACCATTATTTAGAGAAAATACTGCTTCTTAAAAATTTTTTTTTCCATAAATGAAAATACTGCCAAATTTGGCTTAATGCTTATGGAGTGTAATGCTAGGTGTGCTAGAAATATCATCATTGTAAGACATTATTATTTATAGCAAAAGTAAGTGCAAATAAGAAAACATATTAATTTCTCTTCCAGAACTATTCATTTTTAAATCTGAATATTCTACTTGTAGATAAGTTGCTTTACAAATCTTTAGAACAGTTGTTTCCAAATATATTATTTCTATTTTTTTCTACTACAGAATTTTTTAAAATTTGCTTTAATGATAAATATCCCAGCTCTAATTACTTAACATCATTTTCTTGTTATACATGGAACATTCTCAAATTCATCCCAGTGCAGATGAATACAGAGTAAAGCATTAACTAATTATTAAGTTCTCTTTGCGACACTGAGACCTCATGATGGTGAATAAATTGCTCAGAATATGAGGAAATGATCACTGGTTAGAATGACTATGTAAACAAAATGAAAAATTTTAAAATCGGATCTTTTCATTTTAGTATACCCAGGATTCTTCTATTCAAATTACGTGTTTTAATAACAACCCAGAAAAATGCAACTGTACCTTAATACAAGAAATGAATTAACTCATAATAATATTACTTAATGATTGGGTTGTGTTTTATTACAAATTATCCTTCAGTATTGCCATGTCAATTATTGTAAGTTACAAGGTCAAATATTAATAGCAGCATATGTGGATACACCTGTTATAATAATAATTCTCAGAGATCCAAGGTCAACAAACAGAAGGAGTACTTACCATGTATTTTGTCTTATCAATGCCTATTAGGAAAATAAATTCAGCAATGAAAAGGTTGATACAAAGGTTCTTGTGAATAGTATTACGGTCACTCTGTAGACCACGGAAAAAGCAGAAGGTGAAGATGCAGATAGCCAGACAAACAAGGGAAATGACAATTCCCACCCAGGTGATGACTGCAAGAAGTAATTCGTGAACTCCATCTTTGTACTGAAAATTAAAAAAATGAGGGACTTTAGTATTCCTGCATTACATTAACTAAGGGTAAGATAGGTTTCACATGTGATAGCTCAACTTTTAATACTAAACTCTCTGAATATTCATGTGTGTTCAAATGGGGCTCAATACTAAAAAAAAAAAAAATTACGATCATATAAAAGAGTTCAATATTATCTTATTGATTTTTATATTCAAAGAATGATCTATGAAAGTAGATTTTACGTAGAAAATTATGACCAAAATAATTACTTACATAAACATATAGAAAACATTTTACAACAGATTAAAGACTACTTAGTTATTTCAAAATAATTGGCATTTTAATGACTTGCCAGGCTAACAAGTAGTCAAATTTTAAGTTTCTCCTTGAGTTTTTATATTTTATATATATATATATATATATATATATATATATATATATATACATATACTAAAAGTTAAGCACATAATAGATCTGAGAGCTTTCATGTTATAGTTCTTAAATATTTTTATCTCCTGGCTTATGTTCTCTTAATCACAAGAAGAAATGAATACTAAGAAATATTCCGGAAGCCATTCTGATCTTTCGAAATCTGCAGTCTGGCACAGTGTGCAAAGTCGTTAGGAAATTTAAAACAAAAGTTTTGAAATGAGATTCAAACATTCAAGATGGTGAGGGCATGTTAAACTTTAGAGCCTTCTGTCTCTTTTGCATAACCTATTGCTGTTCATTTTTTAAATCCCTGACCGCTTCTGCCTGACACCTGCCCAAAGGGGAAAACTTAGAACGAGTCTATAAAGCACACGATTTTGAGATGTAGCAATAAATATAGTGCCAAGACTTCCTAAAATATATGGACAATGTAAAAGCAATTAGAAATCCACATTACTTTGTTTGCTTTTTAGTTACGATAAACACCCAAAGAAGGGACTACTACACAAGCTGTTTTGAATCTCTGAGGTTTTTCTCTGCTACTAATTAGAAGTGCAAATACTTACTGCAATTTTCCTGTGGGCCATGAGAATTGCAAAATTGGTTAGGTGGCTGCACGCACACGTTGTACGAGTTTTATTTGTGTCAACCAGCTTGCAGCCCTGGGTAGACCAATATCCCATCATAGTTCTCTCTGAGTAGTTCCAGAAGGAGCAGTTTGCATTGAAATAATTGTCAGGCTGGGAAATAAAATGACAAGATAAAATTAGGATTTTACACTCTAAGATGGCAATAGCCATTGTTTAATATGTGTAAAAGGTAATTTAGATTAAACTTTTCATGTTTCGGACTATAAAGTTTTTCATCAGCAGAACTGTAGACTATGTTATACAAGGCAGATATCTAACTTAAAAGGGGCTTTATAGTCCAAAACACTCTAAAGTGTACTCTGAATTACCAAAGACCCATTTTACACAATTACAATTTCCATCTTATGATTTTACATACTGATGGTACATCAGAATCATATTTTTTTTCTTTTCTGACAAAATTAAAGCCATGAATTTGTTCTGAGAAAATTCTGTAAGGACCAAGTGTTTTAAAATCTATTTTGTTTGGGGCCCATTTTTGCTCTAAATGACCCAACAGGGACAATTTGAATCCTGTAGTTAGTATGTCAAGCTCTTAAGAGAGTGAAGCAACTGCAGAAGATATAAGAAGAGAATAGCCACACAAATGTATTGTTCACAAATGAATTCTGGAGATTCACATGGCTATCTATGGGCACTTTTTCTCTCTACTATAACAACAGCCAAATTCTGCAGACAATCTTCCAACACAGTGTTTTTAGCTACCAACTTGCATTCTAAGGCACAGCAGAGGAATCGCATCTCTTCAACTCTATATTTTTAAAAACACAGGGCTTGATAACAATTGTGTTTATATGATCTGTAAACAAACAAACCAACCAAAAAGACCTGCCATACTAAAAAGGCAGAGCTATCGTGCTGCTACGGTAACAGTTAATTTTCATTCTAAAACAAATTATAGTCATTTACATTTTCCTGTTGATTACTGAATTAGCTTTCATTAAGAATACACTTAAATTCTAATAATCACTGAACCAGGCTCATTTAATCTTATGTTCACAGACTTAAATAAACTTGTGTCTCTGACCTAGTCCAACATTTGAAATTCAAATGGGAAGGTCTTTTCTTTCCTCTCTGCCACTTCCCCATTCCCCCTCTCTCTATCTCTAGCACGTTAGTTTTGCTTTCCTTCCTCACTGGTTTTATAATTTTCCACTACTTCATTAGCATACATAACTTACATCAATGTGTGGTAGGGTAAAAAGCACAGGATCTGTCAAGTATACTCGGCTGGATTCTTTATTGATTGAAACTGAAATGACATGGGAATTCACTGCAATGGTGCTATTTCGACCGATAAAGTCAGCACCCAGTTTTATGGTTGCATTTTCTGTACTAAGGAACTGTCCCAGACTCCGGTAAATGATGAACACCAACTTTGCAAGACCTAGGAAGGTAAAAAGTCATATGTCTTTACAGAAAATATGCTTCTGAATAAGATGAGATACAATAAAATAAGAATAAAATGAAACAAATCCTTATGGAATCTTTATTCAGATTAAGTTTACTGGGAAAGAGAAGGCATTACTTTAAATCTGCTTATAAATGCTAAGCTGTAATTGTTATATTAGGAGTCAAACACTCAGTATTTTAGAATTAATAGGTTTAACTGAACAAAAACCCTATCAATTTTTAAAAGACTTTGTTCCATCTTACCGTTCCTGCTGTTCTGTTTGACGGTATTCGCAGAGAGTTGGATTGAGCTGCCTGCCCCTTTGATGCCCAGAGGAAATTTGAAGTCTTGGACCTGTCCTTCTGTACTGAGCACTGCAACTTCCAGAACTGGATGAAGCAGAAGATAAAGGAGGGGGAAAAATGGGGTATTCTCTAAATTCAACTACAAAGAGGCAAATGATAATTGCAAAGAAACCACTGTTTTCCTTTTTTTCTACGTAAAAAACTTTAGTGTTCAAGTCCAACAAAATCATGAACAAACAACTTATTCTAAGAGGTCTTAAACTTTACTACTCTAAAAATTTTGGTGTAAGCATTTTAACATTTTCTTCATAGTTTTATATCTTTTGTCAACTAATTCCAGTCTTTTAGCCTACGAATATGAGTGTCTGATTTATAGTACACGACTATCAAAGTTTCATTTAAATCATTAAGTTAAACAAAAATATTTCAAAATGATTTTTGACTCTATGTTAAGTAATTTTCAATGACCATCACTTGGTAATGGTAAAACAAAATACGAACTATAAATGTGAATGCCTTTATTGCATGTAGACATCTAGTTCTATGTATATAACACATTTTAATACATAAGATTACATAGGTCAACTTTGCAGTAATAGGTTTTCTCTAGCTTCTAAAAGTAGGGAGCTCAGCATAGCATTGTTCAAGAGAAAATGTCTGGCGTTATGTTCAAACTTCCCATTAATTCTCACTAGCAATGATCAATTTTTACATATTCAAGTTGGGCAAAATAGGACCTGTGGGCCAAATCTGGCCTGCCACTTGTTTGGGTAAATTAAGTTTTACTGGGACACAGCCATGATTACCCATTAACATATTGTCTATGGCTGTTAAGTATTTGCAGCTTAGACCACATAGCCTGCAAAGCTTAAAATGTGTACTACTTGGACTTTTATAGAAAAAGTTTGCCAACCACTGCAGTATAATCCAAAGTTCAAAAATTCAAATGAAGTAGCAACACTGGAAAACATGTAAGAAAAACAAGACAATACATAAACATTAAGAACATTTATGTGATCAACAAGGCCAATGTTGTTTAACTTTGTTTAAAAAATATAATAGTAACATCTTCAACATAAATGCTGTCTACTGTAACTCCAATAAAGACTGCAATACTTTATATCAGCATATGATTATTTAAAAGAATGAAAAAGTATCAGTTTCCACTAAAGAAAACTATTTCATATTAGTAATTAGAATGTGCCATTTATTGATGAAATGAGAGAAACTGGATGAAAATTTTTCATTTCAGTATTTGAATTTTAAAAAGTAACACATAATTCAATAAATACAGTCCATACATTTTTCTCTGAATTTCACCCTCTCTGATGGCATATACCCTTGAATAGCTATTTCTATACTTAGACAAACATGCGTGTAAGTGTTGTATGTGCCATGCGTGCGCACACACACACACACACACACACACACACGAGTATGATGAATTCACCCACTCTCTTTTTAGCAAAATGGACTCATACCATTACAGAGTAACTCTTGGATGCTATTTTTTAAAAATCTTTCTCAACTTTGTTTTGCAAAATACATATAGATTCAGCTGTAAATATGAAATCGTAACATTGGAAATTTTTATAAGCTATGAGACCACATGTCAAGCACCTGAAATATAAGTTTATAATGAGAGTCATATAACTCCTAGAATTTTATCAGCTGCAGAAGCTGGTAGAGATACTTTGCTTAGAAAGATTAAGCAGGTGGGTATGTGGATGATCACCTGTCCTCATAACAGATTCCATGTTTGTGGGTAGTGGGCGAAGGGAATGAGTGACAAAAATATAAATTTAATATATACCTCTCTCTTCTTCACACTAAAAGGGGTTCTCAATTATTAATTATTCTTAAAACAAGACAGAAGACAGGGTAAAAAAAGGAAATCCTTTAAGTTTTCAGTAAATGTTCCAAATATAGATACACATGTACAAAGACTTAATTTCATTCAACAAATATTTACTTATCAAACTTCAATTTCATTCAATAAATATTTACTTATTAAAGTTTAAAATCATGTCCATAGTAAAAAAATAATAATTTGAATTTTTAAAAACAGGATCATTAATATAGATCTTAGTAGAGATGCAACAATCAATTTTATACTATAAATAAATAAATAAACAGACAGACAAAAGGGAAAATTTTCTTGAAACAACAAAACTGACTTAAATAAATAGAAACCACAATACTTTATGACCATTTAAGAAAATGAACTCATGGTTAAATATATACTGAATCTTTAACAAACTGCTCCAGTGAATATAAGAGAATGTTTTTCAACTCATTTCACAAAACTAATATATACTCTTGATGCATAGAACAGTAAAAGGAGAGAAATTATAGGATATCCTCACTTATTTAAAGTATGTAAAAACAGTTAATAAATTATATATACACTTTAAATATAATATCCTGAACAAACTGAGTTTAACTCAAAAAGGCATATAGAAATTAATGCATTAGAAAATATATTAATGTCTTTAACCAAATTATGAAATTAAATAAGAAAAATATTAACAGAAAGAATTCAACAAATTTCAACACTCATTCAGTATAAAAAATCTTTATGAAACAGTAAGAATAAAAGAAAAATTCCTTGCCTAGATAAAGGTTTTGTTATCAGGTAATGGTTATGTATCCGAACTTATGGGAAAAAATGATGCAAAACTCTAAAAGCAATTTTTTTTAAGTCAGGATCATCCCTATCACAAGTTTTATTTAGCACTGTACTGAAGGACCTAGCTAAGGCAGTAATTCAAGAAAAATAAAAGGTACAAAGGCTGGGCAGAAAAAGCAATGTGTTCATTATTTATAGAAAACATACTTAACTACATAGTAATGGGCAGGAGACTCTATACTATCAGAAGGAAAAGAATTTAGCAAGTCTGCAATCAGCAAAATCAACTGTACACCAATCAGCAAACAATTGGAATATGTATTTTTTTAATTTATTATTATTTTTTTCGCGGTACGTGGGCCTCCCACTGCTGTGGCCTCTCCCGTTGCGGAGCACAGGCTCCGGACGCGCAGGATCAGCGGCCATGGCTCACGGGCCCCGCGGCACGTGGGATCCTCCCGGACTGGGGCACGAACCCATGTCCCCTGAATCGGCAGGCGGACTCTCAACTACTGCACCACCAGGGAAGCCCCGGAATATGTAATTTTTAAAAAATACTATTCACAATAAAAATTAGTGTATGTTTCCTAGGAATAAGCCTAATTGAAAAAGTACAAGACATTATTGGGAAAAATATAGAACTTAGAAAACCTAACAACAGATGGAGAATTCTATCATGGCCCAATCTGGGAGAACTCAACAGATAAATCTGTGACACTTCTTTCAAAATCTATCTACAAACTCAGTCTAATTCTAATAAAAATTCCAACAAGATTTTTTTGAGTATGTGGAGCTTGACAAGACGATTTTAAAATGCACATGGAAGAGACATGCTAAATAGCAGCCAAGAGGAATCCGATTCCTCAAGAAGCAGGGTTGAAAGAACTCACCAGATATTAATATTATTGAAACAAAAACAAAAGCAACAATGTAAAACAGACACTCCCAACATGTACAGAAACTTGATATATGACAGAGATATCTTTACAAACCACTGGGGACAGGAATGGCTTATGCACTGAAAGTGCTAAAACAACTGATTATCTGTATAGAAAAAAATGAAATTAGTTCCCTCATTAATATTATAAACAAAATAAATTTCAGGTTGGATTAAAAACATAAATGTAAAAAGGCAAAGCTTTATCATTTCTAAAGAAAGTATAAAATCTTTATCACTGCAAAGTAGAGAAAAATTTCTTGATCGGGGACAAAAAAAACCCCCAAAACACTATATTTTTTAAACAAGATCCCAAAAGTATCAATCCTAAAAGAAAGGATTGATAATTTGAGTTTATTATTCCGTAAAACAAAAGATTAATAAACAAGGTACAAAAGAGAAGGCACAGACAGAATAAACATTTGCAAACTATATAATCTTCAAAGAATTAGTTTTCAGAATGCATTACCTACATAGAAAGAGATAGACAGGAAAAAATTGTGGACAAGAAATTCACAGGAGAGAAAATTAAAATACCCAATTAAATGCATTAAGTAATCAGGGAACTGCAAATAATGTGATCAATTCAAATCTATTAGAATGACAAAATTCATGTCAATAATAAAGTGTTGACAAAGAGAGTGACGGGCAACAATGATATTACTGGTGAGAACGTAAATTGGTAAAACAACATTAGAAAGCAACTTGGCAGTATTTAGTAAAGTTAAACATGGGCATGCTCTACCACTCAAAAACTATTTCTAGGTTGTGTGTGTGTGCACGCATATACATCTTGAAAGCCACAAATGTATGAGTAAGAGGCATACAAAAACTTTCACCACAGTTTTCATAATATCAGCAAAAAAGTGTAAGCCACTAAAATATCTATCACAGGCATAGTTAAATGATTGTGCATTCTTAGAGCAAATGAATGAACTAGAGATGCACATATCAATGTGCATAAATATGAAAAATATAATGGCAAGGGAAAATTATACAATTACATTTATAGTGTGAAATCATTAACACTAAAGGCATGAAAAATAACAGTTAAATGTACATACCTGTAGGGCAAAAATAAATAAATAAAAGCTTACTAATGCTAACAAAGTAAGAATGATGGTTACCCTCTTCTTCATCTGATCAGGAAGGAGGGGACCCAGGGGATTTCCAGATTATATATACCTATTTCTTTTCCCCAAAACCTGAAGCAAATATGGTAAAATGCTAAGATGTGGCTCAGTGGGTGACTGCTACACAGATGTTTATGATTTTCTCTATACTTTTGTATAGCCGACATAATATATGTTTTGTTCAACAGATTTCCTGAAAGTGAACACACGTGATTCATAGGAGAGCCACCCAGAGCCTCACTCACAGCCAGTGCTGAAGATAGGATTTTAATATATTTCTCTGTCCTTCTGTTTGTCAAATTCATCACTGCGTAGTGGCTGCAGTGAGAGGAAAGGGGAAGAAAAGTAATACAGTGTACAATGGAAAAACTAGGACCTCTGCCAGCAGACCCGTAGTGTACTAGGTTCCATCAGCCTGAGTCCCGGGGTAAAAGCAACATGGAGCCGACTGAAGATGGTAGGGAGCAAAGCAAAGCTAAGCCTCAGGTGACATGGAGTAAAGCAGTCATAAACTTTGTTGTTGAGAGCTGCAGTGACTTTAGGGTTTTTGTTACTGCAATATAACTAAGCTTAAATTGAGGTATACAATCAAGCTGGCTGCTAAGCCCATTGGGAAAATAAATGATAGGGAATTTTATTATGCTGGATTAGGCTGATAATAACTAAACCACATAATCAATCTTAAGATCACAAAGAAAGACAATCAAACATGATGTGCTTCTTTTCATAAGCTGCAACAGAAAGTATTGGGGTGTGGTATTTAAACCTGAGGTTATTAGACCAGCCAAAGAACCTCGAAGGGTAGAAGGAAAACTCTTCCTTTCCAGTAAGAGCAATACATCAGTCAAATGTACAACATGAACTTGTTTGTATCCTGGTTAAACAAATTAGGTATTAACAAATTTACAAAAATCAAATAACTGAAATCCCCTTTTTATCTTTCCTGTTTTTGATATTTTTTTTAAGTATGAGAATGGCTGGTTTTTTTTTAAAGTCTAAGATACATATTAAAGTATTTAAAGTAATAATATAATATTAGGGTTTGCTTTAATAATACAATGGTGAGAGGAATAAGTGAAACAGGATTGGCTAGATGTTGTTGAAGCTGGGTAATGAGGATTTTTTATCAAAATTAAAAACTTTTGCTTCTCTCAAGATATCATTAAGAAAATAGAATGAAAAGTCACATGCTGAGTGACTATATATTCAGAATACATATATGAGACAAAAGATTTGTATCAGGAATATATAAATAACCTTTATAATCCAATAATAAAACAAAGAACTCAAAATGGGAAAAATCAGATACTTCACAAAAAGATATATGAATGGCCAATAAGAACATGAAAAGTTGGAACAGTTTTCAGCAAAACATAACTTTGCAACCATACAAATGCAAAATAAAACCAAAATGAGATTCCACTACAAACCACTAAAACGGCTAAAATTTTAAAAGACATTTGAAAAGACAATTGTAAATGCTGGTGAGGATGTGAAGCAACTGGAACTCTAATTGCTATTAGGAATATAAAATGGTACAATCACTTGGGAAAATAGCAGCTTTACTAATAACAGTCAAAAAGTGGGAATGACCTAAATGTATAAATAGATATACAAATAGTGTTGTGTCCTTATAATGGAAATTCAGCAATAAATAGGACCGAATTACTGATGTTGGCACCAACATAGATGAATCTCAATAACATTATACTGTGTAAAAGAGGCCAGATCAAAAGGAGTATATAGTCTATGATTCCATTCAACGGAAGGTCTAGAAAAAGCAAAACTAAACTATAGTGACATAAAGCAGATCAGTGGTTGCCTGGGGCTGGGGGTATAACAAGACTGACTGACAAAGATTATAAAGGACCCTTTTGAGGTTGCTGAAATACTGACCATGCTGTTGGTTAAATGAGTGTACATTTGTCAAATCTCATCAAAGAGTACCATTAAAACAGCTGCTCTTATTGTATATAAATTATACCTCAAAGTTGATTTTAAAAAGCTATAATCAGGTATAATTATAACATATAATTATACCATTTTACGAGGTCATGTATAAGGGTAAATCATATAATCAAGTGAAAATAAGGATTCAAGGAGAAACCACTAAGGAGGAGAATCAAATTGTCTTAATAATCAAAGATACTGTATCCACACCCTAAATTTAGGTAAGAACATAAAGTGAAGACATAAAAGGATAATGGGCTATTTTAGTTCTCATGTCTAAAAAGAGAACAAGTCCTAGGAAAAAGTTGAATCTTGAATGCCATATTAAATTACGGATATTATTTTTCACAAAATTGTGAAATAAAAGACATGGAAATATATTGGAATATGTAAAATGACCTTCATATCGATAATTCTTGGGTAATAAATACATGCATACATTAAGTTCAGGGCATTATTTTTGAGAAGGCAGTGAAATGTGTACTACACGCTATGAGAATCTCTACCCACAATGTTCTTTCTTTAATCAAAATTTTTTAAAAAACCAGTGTAAAGGATAAACATTTAGAACTCTGAAAAACACAAGTATCAGGGAAAAAATATTCCTGGCCATTCTCAAACTGAGATAAAAATATCTCAGACATATAATAATAGCGTGTTCTGCATACATAAAGCCGGTGGGAGCAGAGGATGTTGACCTGGCCTATCAAAATTTCTTTGCACTCTTGGAAGGAGCTTAAATGGGAAATTTTATGTTTTTTGGTTCTTTTTAAAATAGGCTTCAGAAGATTTAGAAAACAAATTGAGGTCACAACACAACACTTCAAACAATACTTTTTTATGACTTATCTTCTGAGACAATCAAGTCCACACTCCTTTACCTTACAGGTACGTCCCTGGAAACATTTGAGAAAAATTGTTTAATGTGTATGTTAGGAATTTTATTAGACTACTAAATAAATTAAACCTCAAAATAACAAAAGCTTTAGACATAAAATAGGAGCTTTATTCATTGTCTATTCCTACTAAGCTATGGTAGAATATCACTTTCCTTATGACTGGTCTCCCACATTAAAGCAGGCCAAATTATTTTGATTTCACTTAAAATTATTAAGTTATTTGTCATTTCAAAACCTCATAAAGTAAATAAAAACATGATTTTAATACATCTTTTTTCCTAAAAACTCAGTTATTTAAAATAAACTTAAGGCTCTGAATTTAAATCCAGGTATCATAATCTGATTGATGTCTATTTCTCCTATACACCTTGTTTGTCTGTATTTTTAAATACAAGTCTCATACTTAGGTAGGCACAATAAGGCAATAAGATATGGCATTCTAGATAGCAAAACTTCATTCAGTATCTGCTGCTCCAATGCACTCTTTCGATGGAAAAGTAGTCTGTGTTCCCTTTGGGGTTTTTTTTACATTTATGCTTTGGAAATTTTTTTACTTTACTAAGGGATACTAAAATTTCACTGGAGCTCAACCCCACTGAATAAGAATTCTAAATCAGTCAAGCCTATATTAATATAATTTCACTGTACTTACAGTAGTACTTCTTTCAAATACCATCAAAAGTGAATTCCTACCTCTCACTGCCAGCATTTAAATTCTAAATGATGCTTCAAAACTATCCGCAGCTGTTTTACAGTCTATAAAGCATGGATATTCTGCTCTATGGGTGATGTAGTTCACTGACCACATTTTCACCTGAAAGCAGTTCTGTTTAATATAAACGTTTGGCTCAAATATCTGCGTGCCTAAAATATTTGGGAGAATGCATTTCAGAAAGTAATTTAACCTCATTAGGAATGTATTGTAAAGGCATTCGCCACAGCTCCACGCACTTTCATTACGTAAGCAGTCCATATTCTTGCAGTTAAGTACTCTACACACTGTTTTCCTTTAATGATTTTTCAGTTGGAAAAAAACACCAACTTTTAAAAGACATAGGATAGATTTTGGCTTTTGCATTAATTTTATGAGTGTGATCAATAATATCTCTTATTAAGGGACAAAAATAATTGGACAAAATAGAAGTTCGGCACTGGGGAATAACTCACAAGACTCAATGGAAGCATTATTCTCTTAAACATCTATCTTCTAAATCAAAATTAAACCTGACAATAGATTCACTCACCAATATTTTCTGTGGGCATTGAGACCCTGGTTGGTTCTACGAGATTGTCAGCCAGGACAAAAGCTCCTTCTTCCAATGTATCCAGTAGCATTGTTGCAGTATGTGCTTGTTCAGAAGAATTCATGTGTTTCCATGATTCCAAAGCTTCAGGTCTCAGAAGGTTGTCCACTGTGTCAACAATTGCCTGCATCCATTAGAAAACTATCATTAGTTTTGACTACTTCTAGTACCGAGGTGATTTTCAATCACTGACTAGTGACAACTGTAATATTTATCTGTCATGATGATTCACTCTTATGGAAGAACACCTGGACAACATATATCTGGCCAACTTGACGTCTGACCCTTTCAAAATAGAACTAGCTGAAGATCAGTAGACTACTATTTGATTATAAAGACTAAGTATAAAGAGATGACTCGTTTCTGTTTATCTAATCATATTTCAATTGTTGCAAAGAAATAAAACCAGTGTCAGCTCTTAATCTGAGGTATTACCCCTACATGCATGGTCACTCCTACATAAAACCTCAAGACTTCAATGTTCTAAATAGAAAACACTGGTATCTCTAGAGTAGCATAATACCTATGCTTGAAAATAAAACCATATTGTTTTTTGGAACCTGAACTAAAAATAATAACCAAAATTGTGCCTTATAGCATTGTCTACTTATTATCACTGGGAAAAAACCAAGGTGATTTCAAAGTGTATAAGTTATCTGTGAACATTTTCAACTCTTCCAATTGCCTGGCCAGCTAAAAAACACTCGAGAGTATACCTTAATTCATAAACAATCATCTGTTTTTAAGGAGATCAAGAGAACAGTCAAAATATTTAAAACCTATACTAATAATTTAAGAAAAACAGAAAGGCAAAGTAAAGTCTTAATAAATATCCAAGTTATAAATATTCATATGTGTAGGTTTAGTTTATTACCATGTAAAACAACATTAAATAAAAATGTAACCCGGTCAGTTAAGCAATTGAAGGCAGGCTTTTGTACTGATACTTACTGTAGCTGTACACTGACTATGGCTTGGATAACTGAAATCACTGAGTTTATTTACTCTTTCCCATTTACCTAGCCATAATGTGTCATTAAGCCCAAATATCAATTGTTTTGATCTATTGATAATCACTGAGAAAAAAAAACACACTCTACAAAGAACAACAAAAATTGCTAGTTTGAGGTACTATATTGAAATGAGCACGGGGAAAAGCTGTTTGAGGCTACTGTCAGAGTTAAGATTAATTAGCTTAGTCCAACTTAATATCCTCGTTCTGTCTGCTACGTGAGCCACCACGACCTTCCTAGCAGGTAGAAGGTACTCGCAAGTGGCATTAAAGGCTTTTTTCTCTCTCTGATGGGAGATAGAATAGTCAAAATGCTCACACTGATACTGCTGCAGCCATTAACTAGAATGCAACAGAAATTGGTCTGCTGAGGCCAGATTCATTAGTCACCAAGAAATACAGACTGGAGCCTCTAATCTAAGTTACAAATGAATCCTCTGTCACAAAGCAGGAACTCGCTTCATTTGCACAGTGTAAGTCAGCTTCTGATTTGTAACTTAAGGAGTTTTATTAGCTTTATCTGAACACAGAAGCTCACTTGAGACATACTGAAAATAACATTGGTCAGAAATTAAGGTCATGCTGAAATTTACTACCTATACACATAACTCGCTGATGGCATGCTTTTATTAATTTGTAATGTGCCTTAGTTATTACTAGTTGTATTTTTCTAGTGGAATCAAAATGATCATTAGCCTAATCATATTCCTGAAGTAGTCTCCCTGCCAAAGAAAAAAAGCTATTCTATTCCCACTGAGATATATGTCCTGGGCAACATACTAATTATTACATTTCACACATTAACTAATACCTTAAAGGTGAGCTGAAAATTTCCGTACAACAAATTCTATACACTTCAGTATCTATTTCTTTGCCCCCATTAAACAGGCTAATAAGGGACTTTCAAAATATTACCACCTAAAAACAGACTTTCCCACTGCCTTTTCTTGTAAAGTTCTCAGATGCAGCAATGTCTATTACTCATTAGTGAAATGCTGTTCTTTTTTTCTAGATCTTGCCAACTAAAACTGGTGAAGTCATATCTTTTGAATAATCTCTATTCTACAAAACTTACAAAGTTCTTTTGTTTTGTTTTCATACATATACAGATTAGTTCTTCAAGGTTTGATTGACTAGGAATATGGTCCCCAGATGAGTAGGGTTAGAAAGTAACCATCCCCAGCAAAAGGAACTTCTTTATTATTTGGATCTACCACACAGAACTGGCTTGGCATAATTCCACTGTTAGCCTCACCATGTTTCCTATTTTACTTGGATATACCAGTGAGAAAAACTGGCTGCAGTGGACAAGGATTCTGAGCCAAACAGTGGCTTTCTGTTTCTATCATCTCGATAAAAACCAACATATAACATATATCGAGAGCACTGTCACATTATTTATATTTCATTTCTAGTAACCCATCCCCTTATCAACCTGATTCTAGAAATGACTCCAAAAAATTTCAAGACCTTTAAAGCCTGTTTCATTTAAGAGTACACCACAGAGATAAGAAAGCAGTGACTTTTTCATGCACATACATTATGACTACACAGTCTTTGATATGATAAACTGCCAGGAATATATCATAGCTGTTTCACTCAAGTTGTTTTTCAATCCACAGAGATGACAACAGGAAATAACGAGACTTTATGATAACTTTCCAATTCAGAGGATATTTCATTAAAATTCTTGTATGTTTGGATGAATGGAAAAACAGCAAAAATTATGAAAATAAATTATTTGCTTATTCTGAGAGTAATATACCTGTGAAAAGCCAACATTTGTACAGCTGATATGGGGCACATTATATAATTATCAAAGACTGAAATACACTGGATCATGCAGCAAGATGATAAAGCGTAACAGGTAGCTGAAGAAGGGAGAAAGCAGGGTGACAGCACAGGGGAGATACCTTAAGGTAAGCCCTGCATGTCTTCTCTCGTTTTTGGAGCTTTTTAGTAAAAGAAAAGAAAATCAGAGGTTAGATTTTTATCTGTTGAAAATTGAGGAAAGAAGAAATCCTCAGAAATTAAGCTGGTGGTCCTGAGCTCAGCGTTTATTATGTACCGTAATCCTCTGGATTTTTGTGAGTCTATACTGATTGCCAAGATTGTGTATTCAGTTTTCAGCTGTATTTTACTAAACATGATAATCCAAAGTATCTTGATAAACCTAGAGACAAAGTATGTGATGAAAAGGAAGAAAAAAACCATAAAACCATTTCAGCCACAGATTTCAGATTCATATGAATTTCTTATAAACACTTTATAGTATGGTTAAAATAACTATCAAATTTTTGTCAAGGTAGGAAAAATTAGTAGCACTAACACACTATACTCCTATCAAAGGAAACTTGTCCTTCTCTCAAAACCTACCACTGAAAACAGTATTTCAGTGGCTAACATTCCTATATGCATCACAATTTTCTTACAATCACAAGAGTTGACTGTATTAGTGCATCAGTTGTGTAACAGAATCTCTCCTAGTGGGCCTTCCAAAGTGAGAGTACTGACCAAAACCAGGCAGATGACGTTTACCACCAACTAAAATCTCCCTCAGGTAATTAGCGTCATTTGGGGGGTGGGGATGGGTGTGCACGTTGCTCCTTTCCCAACTATAATTCCTTCTTGAGATATGAACCAAATTAGAAGTTCTGTTTCTATGCGTTTGTCCAGGGGGCCAAAAGTTAGACAGTTAACTGCTGGAAGAATCCAGAGCAGCCATACAAAACATCTAATTGAAAATAACGGAAAATTTCTACCTACCTTGTTATAACTCCGTCCAGCTGAATCCTTTTCACTAGGTTTCAGTTCCTGCAGCTGCGCATCAAGAATGTCCACCAACTGCTCCATCAACCTCACTGAAGAACTCACGTCCCCAGCAAACACTGGCCCTTTGGTATGTTTAGCCAGTTCATTGGCAAGGCTAGCAGCGTTTTCTCCACTTCTGATCTGAAACGACAGTTTATACTATCTCAGTAAGATTTCTTGTTCTGTTTGTGGCTTCTTATTTTTTTCCCAAGTATCTTTGTTGTGGTGAGAAAAGTATTTGCAAATATGTCAAAATCTGCAACTGAGACCAATAACTTTCTCTTCATTTCAGATGATTAAAGGTTCTTAGATCCTCAAAAAATATACTTAATCAGACATTTTAAAGAAACAAAAGGTAAAAAACAGAAATCGTTTAAAACATTTTTGAGATAGTTCTCTCATTTCACTGCAACCATTTAAAACTGCTATTTAAAAAATCTTACGTATTTATTCCAATGATCCAGAAATTTAAGTGAGAATGTAATCACTTACATTAGTGAGGGCTATTATCTACCGCTTGCATTTTAGAAAGGTAGATGGCAGAGGAGAAACTAAAATGTCACTGCATTACAATGTAATATTAAAGTTCCTAATGCTTTTTAAAGTCATTTTTCTTATTCTATCATAATCACCTGCAATATGAACATCTGCTTGCATTCTGTGGATTCAGTTGCAAATTAGTGATACTTGATTTATTAGGCCAATACACTGTTTGTCTTACAAACATCAAAAGAAACAGAACTCAATATGAATGAAATTAAGCAACTATGTACTCATTAAAAAGCTTAACATAGAAAACAGCATGCCCTAAAACACATGTAACTTTGAATAAATAGTTTACAGACAAAGCTATGCATAATTTTTTTACTTTTACACTGAACAAAGAGCAACGAAGCTGGTTTTAACATACAAAGCTAAATTATTTATGTTAGAAGTTAAAGCCCTTAATCACCAATGTGTATCATATTAAAAGGTTCCAACCAACCTTCTGAGCCAGCTGATTTACCCAGTGTGAGGTACAGTTGCTAAGATCGGGGCCCCTAGGGTTCCATGTTCCAGTGGAAAGCATGCAGAGATACGAGGCAGTTCCTACAACAGATGTAGAAAGCAACAGTGAAATTGAAACCATTTTTTCTGCATGCATTTGGGAAATCAGCTATGATGATCCTATTCCGTGTGTTAAATTTTGAATAAACATTAATGGAAGTAGTTGACAATAACTGATGAAAAGTAGGGTATAATACAGACTATAAACAGTAAATATAAAGTCAGCACAGAAATATCAGACATTTACAGCAAACAAACAAAAAGCCCTTGATTTTCTTGGGACTCATCCAAAATGATACATTGCAATGAGAAAGACAGCTGTAAGGAAGCCTCACTAGAGAATCCATGGGCAAAAATCTCAGGCTTGACCTAGGTCTTTAAGAGGGAGAGAATTTAATTCAGTGCCTGACCTTAAATGACTTTTACAGTTTAAAAACCTTTAAGTTGTCTACATGTGCTATATTACCAAAGTAACAAAAACAACAATGAAGTTAGCTATCGTAAATATCTCTTTCCTCAAATAAAATCACTTCTGTGTAATTCAGAACCTACTTAAAATAAGTTTTTGTTTGTTTGTTTTTTTTTTTTTTTTTTTGTACCCAGGCCTTTCACTGTTGTGGCCTCTCCCGCTGCGGAGCACAGGCTCCGGACACACAGGCTCAGCGGCCATGGCTCACGGGCCCAGCCGCTCTGCGGCATGTGGGATCTTCCCGGACCGGGGCACAAACCCGTGTCCCCTGCATCGGCAGGCGGACTCTCAAGCACTGCGCCACCAGGGAAGCCCCTAAAATAAGTTTTAAAATGTATATATAGTATTTGACAGGAAATACCTCTCGTTCCCTTGGGACATGGTCGTTCAACCATCATTCCCCTTTGTGTCTGAGGCCACCTTATCCCCCTTGCGTCTAATGCTTCACAGAATCTCTCTGGCAGGGGAAAAATATTTGTTACAGGAGGAATTTTGGTTGTAGAAACTGCTGGAGGTGGTTTTGTCCCTTTGCTTCCTTCCTGAGATCCAGCTACAGTTGTGCTCATGGGGCCTTTCTGTGAAGGGCTTGTGGTTGATACTGTGGTTTTGAACATCTCAGCTGAAGAAGTTACTGTCACAGCTGTGGTAGGCACTACGGAAAAAAGATGAGTATGTTAATCTCAAACACACACTTGCACTCATATGTGAACGTGCACACACACACACACATACACACAACCCCTACCCATCCAACTACCCCAACACCAACAAAATGAGAAATTAATGAGAATATCCATAGGGTGGGAGGAAGAATAAATCTCTTCATTTATTCCAATTTATTCATATTGTTGGCTAAGCAATGGCAGTTTAGGATTTACCATAAATTTTGCTCTATGACTCTAATTGTGCTAGGCTTACTTCTCAATGAAATATTTGATAATAAATTTTATGTACAATTTAATCATATATCATGTAACAGGAAATGAAGGGCAGTTTCATATAGAAAATTTCAATGTACATATCAAATACATTATGTCATATCAAATACATTTAGAAAAATCCGTTTCTTATATAAATTCATACTCTGAAACAATAAAATTCAAAGTATCAACAAAAGTCTAACCATTACATATAATTAGGACAATAGAAAATTTCAAGTCACCCACTCTGCATCTTGAAGGAAAACAAATACTGTAACATCTTTCCACCCAGCAGCCATTCTTGCTTGAGAGATTTTTGAGCATGCCTGATTAGAACCAAACAGAAGATAAGCTGGGCATGCTTGTGCTGTTTCAGTAAGGAAACATCTGAGGCTTCGACATTTTTACTTTTGAAAACACAGGTATGAAAAAGAAACTACTTCTGGTCAGGGGTTACAATGCAATCTCATATCAAGATAACGGGTTCGATCAAATAATGCCTAATTTGAAAACAACCCTACATATCCTACTGACCTTTAACAGAGAGTATAAAAGGATTTAAAAATATAAAAGTGGATTTAAGCATAGAAATTTTAAAATAAAAAAAATTTAAGGTTATTTTGGACTTCCAACATTACTTTTAAACTGTTAAATCCACTAGGTTAAAATAATAATGGAGCTTAATGTTTCCCTCATTAACACTTAATTTAATAAAAAAACAACAAAAATTCTGTCAGTAAAACTTTAATGGCACCATTTAAAATCTATTAGGTGATCACACTATAGTTTTATCAACATTTAGATTACTGGCTCTTAAGACCTTGTAAATATGATGTCTTAAATTTAAATTGAGTAGAGCAAACTAAAAATAACTCTTTTTTAAGATAATCTTATAAAACATTAACTTAATTTATGGCTTTGCTATACATAAGAAACAAACTAGAACATTAAAACTTCTTGGAAAACAAGTTCATATTATCACTTGTATCACTTAATATTAAGCTCTGGTCCATAAATAGTTTACATAATTCTGACTCTATGACAGAGTATGCTAAATTTATCAGAAAAAGTAGTGTGTACTTGTTTCTAGTTCTTTAGTAGTGAGAAACTTCTTGTTATCAATAAGTGCAAGACACACTTTTTACACCCTTGTTTCATTCTATCACAAGAGAAACTTCTTAAGCAATGTTTTATTTCCAGGGCATCAGTTACTGACCATACGAGAGAAGCCTGTGTACATCAGCCAAGCAACATGCCTAGCCAGCTGCTGCAGAAACCTATTCAAACCCGTTTATCTTTTTCTGTAAAGCGCTTCCCTGACATCCTGTTAAACCTCGTAATTTTCTTTTGATTACAATGCAGCCAGGCTTTCAGTGCTTTCTCAATTAACATTTGTCAAAAGCATCACAATCTTTTGCAGAAGTGTCAAGTGAATGCTGCTGAATGAAATCTAAAAGCCGGGGGCGGGGGGATCCGGAACAAAGAGAAAAGGGCAGAGCAAAATGGTTTAGTGCTACACCTTCTGATGTATCCCTTGACACTGTGCTAATTAGTACATATTTAATCACTGAAATATGTATTAGCAATACTACAGTTAGTGATCTGTTTGCTGAGCATCAGTAAAGATTCATAATAAGTGAGTGAAGGTAGGCAATAAAATGACTTTTATTAAATGCACAAAATTTCATGCAACATTCTATACCATATTTGCATGTGTCATTGATAATAAAATTTCACACCTTTTTACCTTTTGTTCATCAAAAGAAGTTTAAAGGGAAGCAACACATTCTTCAAAGGTAAACCAATGAAATATTGGGGTATCATGAAAATAAACATGAACGTCAACTTTAAGTGGCAAAATGAAACCCTTTAGGAGGACAACTATAAGATTTTGCAAGGCCAAAGCTTAACAACTTCAAGGAAAGCATTTTTTTCTAATGTTGAAGCTAGAAATGAAAAGGTATTTCTAAAAATTAATATTTCTTTCCCTAGGTGAAGACAGGTCACAACAGGGCACCCCATGATGATAAAAGCTTACACTTTATTCAGCATTTATGTACCAGATGCTGTGCTAATCACCATTCATGGATCATCAGATCATCTTATTTAATCCTTACCACAACCCCATGAAGTAGGCACTATGATTATCTTCCTTTTACAGAAGAGAAGACTGAGCCATGGAGGAGGTTAAGCAATTTGTTCAGGTTCACTTGTCCATACTCTTAAATGTTATGATCTTACTTTTCTAGATAAAAGATTTTCAGAGACTCTGGGAAAGTATGGCACCCTATTAAGCAATTTGCCCTTATTTTGGAGCATTTAACTGACACTGTGTTCTGCATAAATCTTTAAAAGAAGAAAAAATGTGGGAACATAAGATACTGAAGCAATAAAAAGTTTCATAAGGAACCGTATGTGGCAAAAGGCTCAAAACTCAAGAATATCCTACAAATGGTAACAGAAAACATGGCAACTCACAATAGACTTATGTCATAAATCTAAACCCTACTTTACAGAGCCTGTCCCAAAATTATCAGGTGCCATATCAAACACACAGATTAAATGACTTAACATTCTACCTACCATTTATTATTTGAGTACAGAGATGTAGAAACGGTGCCAATAATGCTAATAAACATATTTAATAGGTACCCATGAAAATTTCAACAAACACATACAGAATGGTTCAATTTACTACGACAGTATTTACTAAGAACTTGCTAATTATCACCAGCTTTTTCCTGTGTGAAAAGATTTTAAGGACAATATGGGTTGTTATTTCCCTCTTCCAAGTCCCAAAACTCACCCATTATTCACTGAATGAACTCCAGTTAGAGTGAGTCTGTAGCCTGGTAAGGCAAAACTGCAGATTTATTAAATTTACCCTTATTCGATGTCTACAAACACTGATCATCTTTTAATTAGCATCCATTATCAGTGGGAAGATGTTTTAAGAAATATGTATTCTACACTGAACACTTCCTAAGTAATAGACCTAACTGGCTCTCTTGATAAAAAATTTCCCTCATGTTGTTTAAGTGTCATACTTCATTATTACTCTAAGACAGATATTCAGAAACTGTCAAAACTCAAGACACAGTATTTTTCAATAATGTTTGGGATATCAAATCTGAAGACAGATTAAGTAAATATATAAATCAATTCAGATTAAGACATAGAAAAGATATATATGATATATCTTAATATATGACTGAAATGGGATTTTTCTAAGCCCGTTTTATAGAGAAAGAAAGTAAAAGAGGAAAAACAGACCTAGTTCAAGGAAATGGAGCAAATTAACTATGCCGAGATCACAAAAAGCTAAAAATTTAAAGAAAAAAAGAAAGATGTATTTGAAAACATTATCAAGGCCAAGCAATAATGTACTTGTGCTGTTAGGAATGAAAGGCTTGGATTTATAAATGGGGAAAAGTACTGAAGCTAATACAGTGTGAAACAGTCCACAATGAAAAATTATCCATTTTACAGCACAATGTACACTTCAGCTATATACATGGTAGCAAAGCCCGTACATAAGACTTGCTGACAGTGGCTTACTGGTTTGACCTAAATGTATGAGCCACAATAGTTCTGCAATGCCCCATCTACATGCAGTTAGATAACAGCACATATCTTAGATGAGCGAGGCAGGAGTCTCTCTAAAAGCATTTGAAGGTAAATTATAAAGAGCACGTGAATAAGAGAATACAATTCAAACATCAAGAAATTTAGGTCAGATAAAACTTTTTACCACTAAGGGTTTAATAAGGGGTCAATACGAATTTTCACTTTCTGAGAATATATAAGAATGGTTAACTATTTTGGATAACACAACACAGCTGTAGGAATGCAGTTACCACATATGGCTAAGTTTCTCATTTTCGAAGCTGGTAACTTTTTTCCAAAAAGCATCCAAATTATCAAAGATTCTTTCATCTGAAATGGATCAAGTTATTTACTAGAACATAAGCCACATGTGGAAAATGACATTTTTACTCATCTTGTATTTTATGAAGTACTCTGTGACAATCAGGGAGGCAATGATTCTTTGTTGAGCTGCATCTGTACTCAACTTTAGGTGCTGCCTGATTATGAATTTACATTTTTAAAATTTATTTTCTATTTTTTTCTAATGGAGGGAAAGAGATTTACTGCTACCCAAGATAAATTTAACAGCTGTGAGGGTAATACAGGTTACAAAAAAGATTAACACATGTATCTCCACAGTGTCAATTTTGTCGATTACTGACCTTCTGCCTTTTACAAACCTACAGGATAAAGGAGAAGCATAGTACTAGCGTTTAGAAAAACAACTGAGATATAGGAACCATCCCAAATTGCTAGCCTCAAGAGAAAAAAGATAGGTCTGAATTTAAAAATAAAGAATACTAAGACTATCAACAAAGATTTTTATGTCCTAACAGATTTCATTGTTGAAAATTTAACAATGGGACATTGCTGCAATTTTCACCCAACAAATTCTAGACATACATGAATTAGAGAAAAAGGGGGCTTATACTAAGTCATATGTCATTATTGCCCTTATGTTAAGAAGAAAAATCACATATTTTTGTATTCTATAACTCAAATTAGAAATTCAATTACAAAAGACTTCTGCTTTTGAGGTCCTAACCCTATGACAATATTTAGAACTTAGTAACATTATACCCTAAACTATGTGTGGGTGTATGTAATTGTGTTTAAGTGTGTGAATGTACACTGCTTTAACAGAAGAAAAAGATGTTAATTTATGTTCCACCTTGTTGAAGAGACTGATTTAGTCACTCCAAGGAACATTCTGGCTCCTACAATTTTGAAGTAACTCAATAATATGATAATTCTAATTAACTCAGAAAACTGAAATAATTCAGATCTTTAAAACACAAATATTATTGCTCAAATAGAAAAGACATAATAAGTGCAAGCTCTATAATAATATATTAAGAGGTCATTCTTCTATCTTCTACCTCATATGAGTATGAGGTAATCTTGCTTTAATGAAATATCCAAAACTTCATTTACCCTCAAAAACTGTTCACTGCAGAACTGAATTAACTTGCTAAACTAAAATATATTTCCAAAGATTTATAAAGTAATGATCCTACATAAAGATGCCTAAAGAGAACACAAATCGAAAAATGTTAGTGGATTTGTCTTCATAAATCAACACTTGGGATCATTTAATGCTTAGTCCATGTGTAACAGTTAAAGTCACAGAAACACTGACCTAAAACAGTCACAAATTTATTGGGAAGTAAAAATGTGTTATTTTACACGATGATCTAGTAAGATGTTAGATGACTCCTTCTCCTACCCAGAGAGCAGAGGCCAAAACTTCAGAATACTTATGCCTGGCATTGTACATCAAGCCTAGCAATTCTCCTGGGACTTCCTAACAAAAATTTCCTTTAACCACTGGCGCCAAGAAGTTAAAAGGTCTGCACATAATCAATTCAGAAGTCAGGTAGAAAAAACACACAAAGCTAACAGGTTTGTAGCTGGCATTACATTTTTAGCAATGAAAATCTAAACTGACCAAGGATGCTACAATTTTTTGAAACCAACATTTAAACGAAGAAATTCAGAAAAAGAAAATGGACCAATATAAGGCTAAAAAGTACACAGTATGTGACAATTTGAAATGCCACAATATTATCATTTGCCCTTGAACTATGAAAAGGGAAAGAAAATAAATAGGAAAAAATTAAGAAGTCTTAAAAATAAACTGTTCATAAAAGATATAAGCATTAGCAAGCAAACATTCTTACCTTGGGCAGGATCAGGTGGACCAAACTCCAGAGAATATCGTAAAATGAAGTTATTGTTCCACACGTAGAGTTGGTTATCTCTTGGATTGTAATCCACTGCAGCAATATACTGATACTGGTTGGGGAAGGGAACATCTACATATTCTCCTCGGTTTAATCGGGTATTGTAAATATAATCAATTGCATTCTTGCCTGTTTCACTCTCATTGTCTTGATAAACTGACCTGACCACATAAAGGACTCCACAGATCATAAAAGCATTTGATGCAGCTCGCTTGTCATACACAGTCTCCCACGTTGCTTCAAAGCGAAGAGTGTACGGATTCAGTTGGCTAATAACTATCATTCCATTGTTCTGTTCAGTGGCATAAATGACCCATAAGCCATTTTCATCAACTGCTAGGTCAATATCAGTTTTTCCTCCCCATCTATATGGTGAGGTATCATGATAGTTAGCATAGTTAATTATGGCCTCTCCACTCTTAATTCTAGTCCTCAAGTCAAATTTCACAATATTCCTTGTTCTTTCTTTGTTAAAGAAGACAGCACCATCATATACCACAAATCCAGTACCATCTACTCGATTTGGAAGTTTGTATGTTGTTGTTTGGCGACTGTTTTGGAAATCTTCTAAAGAAGCATATTCTATTAAAGTATCAGTACGATATGGAGTCCAGGGCATGAAATAAATTTTATCTGCAGCCTGAAGAGGGTCCTTGCACCAAGCACCTGCCTTTTGTTCAGCTTCATATATACATGGTGAATCCACAATTGCTTTCAAGGTCCCAGGGCACACAAAAACTAACAGTCACAGAGAAAAAAACAAGAATTAAGCAAAGTTAAAAGACTATACAGGCAAACTAAGTTTTAATGATCATAGATCAAAAGAGAAAAATTCACTCTATTAGCATTCAATTTTACCAGAAATTATACTTAACACAAGTACTACCTTTCTTTCCTTAAGTTACCATAATTGATGTACCAGCATACAAAGCAGCTGGGGTTTATTTTCACAAATACAAACCTAAGCTTAAGATCATTCATGATTGAGCTAACAATTTACATTTTTGCTATGTGTTTTTATCTTATAATTCGGTAATTTATGCTTTAAAACTCTGAGCTTTGTACATAAGGGTGAACAAAGTACTTTTAGACCAAACTTTGTACCCTCCCTTCCTTAGCCCACTTATAAGCCCCCAAAAGCAGAACACCAAAATTAAGCAAATAAAACAAACCCAATGTGAAGGCTTATTTAGAACGTCTATGGAACTTAGACTGAAAACAAAAGTGCTTCAATTGAAGGAACATAAATATTCGGAAAATGCAATTAGAAGCAGAGAAAAGTAAATACGAGGAAAGGAGTGATGAAACGACCAGGAGACCCTGTAACCATGGCATGCTATGGAGAGGGTTCTGGAAGCCAGGCAAGATGACACTTTAATAATAAAATATCCAAGGGTATCAGAAAAAGAGATAAAGAGTGAAAAGAAACAGAGAAAGGACAGCTCCCCCTCGCCGACTTCAGAAATTTTACCCCGTCACCAGATTTAGCGGTCATATAATTTCACTGCAAACAGTCGACTTCTTTATGAGGTGCATTTATGAGATCCTGCTGATTATATATTAATGTCAGGAGTGTTGTAGGGGAAGGGAAGGGAGAAGGTAACATCCATAAGGCACATAACAGGGAGCTGGGGTTCAAACTGTATACGTTATTTACCTTTTTGCTCCACTTCTATTTTAAGCATCGGAAGAAAAAAAAAAGTGCAAGGAAAAAAGAAAAAAGATTAAAATAAATTGACAGTCTAAGACTGAATTCGTAATAGATGCTAAATATAAGAAGAATAAGAGCTGCACTACTTTGGATAAAGAGAAACACAACAGGAAAACCTAGCAGGAGAAAAGATACTAAAGTTACATAAAAGAACATGGATCAATCATTTTAGTAGATTAAGGAGGCAATACAAATATGTTGGCATGTTGCTTCACTTAGTGTACCTGAATAAATAATGAAACTCTTCACTAATGCATGGTGTACATACTCTTGCCTTTCCCAAGTCACTCAGCATTCTTATCAAGTTTTACTTTAAATAGGTAGGCTATAGACACAAATGCATGCATAGGTGTATCATCCCCATTTATCTTATGCAAACTCATTATTAAGCTGACTAAAATTAGGTAAGCATAACAACAGGGAAATATATTTATAAACATGGCAACTCAATTTTGAAGCTCAGGTCAAAGCTAATGAATACTGATATTGTTACATTTTTCAAAGATACTTATGTAAGAAGAAATATATAATTATGCATCTCAGTACGTTTCACTTTTTTTCTATTAAATTTTCTGTTTCTAGAAAAATCTATCTTAACTATAAAAAATCTGCCTCCTTTTCAGGAATATATAAGCCTCCCCCTTTACCCCAATAGTTATTTTGAAGGGTACGCTAAGGTAGTACCTTTCTTCCCCACTAATAATTAGTAAATTTACTTATTTACATTTATATATACTTTATATTATAAAATTCTTATTAAATTCTCTATATCACATATCTCAAACTTGTAATACAAAGTCTATTAAAAAAAAGTAAGCAAAATACATACAAGGAAAAAGCAAGCACAGTAGGCAAGGAGAAAAAAGGAAGAAAGAATTATGGTTAGCTTATTATGACATTGTCTACCATCACCAATTTACACAAAAGCAAGCTAGCATGCAACAACAATCATACCAAGCATTCAAAGCAAATACCTTGATTCCACAGACCCCATAAAAGGTAAATGCTTTCATAAAACAAACCTGATTAGTAGAGTTATAGGAGAAAAAAATCCTCCCTCCAAGAAGTTTAAAGAAATGGATTATGCAGTTAGGAAGTATGCTATATAAGATTCTTGCTGGTAAATAGTATTCTAATAATTACAAACCATAAAATACTATTTTAGATTTTGTATGTAGGTTTTGAAGTATGTTGCCTGAATTTAATAAAGTGACCAGATTAATGTCTGTGATTCTCCCTCTTCCCTTATTAAAATGCATTAGGGTGTGCTAATACTGTATCTCCAAGCTGACTACTCAAAGATACTGTAGTAGTTGCACATTTCATTAAGACGCCTTAGCTTGATTAATTTTTTTTAATTATGATAATTCATCAAGATTAAATACTGACCTCCTGGGAGAAACATATCACACAAATATTTCTGCCATAGGAAACCTTCCACATTAGCCACCACCTCCCCCGTCCAACTTGGTCTATTTAACCACTTTCAGGAAACATACTTGCTCTATTAATGCGTAAACCTGACTACATCCAGTGAAAAGGAAATTCAGTGTTACTGACGTGGAACAATTCTTTTTTATAAACCACTGGTCCTAAAATTACTGCTCAGTGAAGAGCAATATTATACCTGCTTAGAATCAATAAAGGAAGGGCATGGTGGGAAAATGAGGATAAAATAAATCATTAGTGTTGAGTCTGCTCAGACTATCTTTATATACAGCTATATTCTTTATTTTTAGGAAAGGATGATTATACTGAAATACATCAATTAAATGCAAAGATGGGAATAATACATTTTAAAATATGTTACGCATTTAAAACAGAACTTAAAACAAGTTCAATAAAGGATGTAGAAAATATATTTTGTTTTCCATTAATTGAAAATGGCTGGGTTTTATTATTTGATACATTAAAATGACAGGGCAGTTACTGAGCAAAATATTAAATAGGGATGACTTCATTTATGATTTAACTTTTATATTTATATTAAAGAAAATAAAATGGATATATATTGTATATAATTTATAATTCTAATGAAAACTGAGAAGTAACGTTCAAATGTAAAAGTAACAAAAAAATTAAATAAAACTTTTGATGATTGATGACGTGCATAAAATATGGGTATTCAAAACAAAAGACCTTACATTATGATTTTTATGACAACCCAAAGGATATATATTTGTCAAATCAGCCAAAATTCACTCAACCGAGAAAAATATTAAAATACAATAAAATTAATGAAATTAGCATTCTTCATCACAAATATATATTGCAACTTGTCTTAAGAGACTGTATGAATTAATTCATAACAATACATTTACTATGCTATAGAACAAACATAAATACGTGACCCACTAACATCAGTGGAGGACACGGTTATGCAAGACAAGAAATCGACCCAAACAAACTAAAGCCTACATACTCTGTATCTGCAGTGACACACTATTTCATTTTGAATAATCTTATGTTTATTCATTAATAATGATTGAATCAATAGTAAAAGATTTTTTTCTCATAAAATAAAACATAGCTGAATTTATGGTATAACTTTAATAACTTAATGATAATTTGAGATAGGAGGGTACAAAAATCAAAACCAAATCACACCTGTAGGATATGGAAACTCTGATCTGATTACTCTCCTTTATCCTACAAGATCCTTATGACTTCTTTTAAACACACATTCATTCAATTACTAATCAAATATATGTGCTTGTCTATAAACATACAAAGTTAAAAAACAACAGCATTTATAATGGACTCTGTTGAGTAAATTTATTATAAAATTTTCAGAGATCATGGAAAATTTCTAAATTTTTTTTTAAATAAGTGGAAACAGTTTGGGATGGATATGCTCCTGAAGAACTTGCTCTGGATAGAAACTGGCATAAAGCCAGGTGGTAACAGACACATAATAAATGTTATCTGACAGTGACAGTTTTTATCAACTAAGTGTAAAAGGAGTATGCAAACATTACAAAGTACCAAAATACTATTAAAACAAGGGAAAAGTGAAAGCTAGAAGCTTAAAATAAAAACAAGAGATGGTTATAAAGGACAGAAGCATAAAGAAACAAAAGGAGAGGATAATGGGGAAAAGAGATTAAGAAGATACACAGTCCTAAATAAGATCAGAACAATCTAAAAAGATCCTTTGCATTAATTATAATATTAGTGAAAATCATGCATTTTATAGTGTGTCACTACTGAACAGTATATAGGAATTGTAATTACTTCTACTCTTTAGCAAGGAGTAGTTTAAAAAAGCCATAGACTTATTTCTGTCTCCTGCAAACATCTAGAAAGGTAACAGCAAATTAATTACTGTTTTTTTTTTAAGGACAAAAACTAAAAAGAACAAATACTTCTCTGAGTATTGCTATTTGCAAGTTTATTACACAGTGTACATTACTTCTGGAGAACTGAAAAAGTAAATTTTGAAAGTTAGATGTTCCAGAAGATATCCACATTTTCCTTTCTTAAACAGCGCAAGAAATAACTTAAAAGTCTGAAAATAATATTTTCTTAACACTGTTCTTGATCTATAGACTAGATTACAGGAACTGGCTCCAGAAAGACATAATTCTTGGCAGCTCTGACTGATTCCACGGTTTGGGAATGGATGCTGTATTCCTTTTCTAATTTGAGGACAGAAATCATACTAAATTCAACTGCAAGTGACTTTATGGAACAAAACTTTGGTTAGCTCAAAAGAATACAATGTTCCTCCAGTGGCAAAGGAGAATGATTATGTAAGCCACCAACACTACACACAGGAGAAACGATATAAAGATCAGTGCACTCAGTAGGCTTCCAATCCTTCAAATGATATAGAAAATACTGAAAACATAAAAAGCCTCCATTTCACAGTAACACAACACAGAGCAGGGATGAAAAGATAATCTGTGTTTGGCCTTTAACTGATACCCCACAAAAAGCCAATTTATCAAAACTGCGGGCAGAGAAGAGAGAGACGACAGTGCCTTCACAGGATGTGTAGGTATGTATTACAACCATACTGGGCATAGTATATCTATCTAAAATCAGCCCTTTGGTTTCAGAAATATTGATAGTTTGAACATATGAATCTATCAGAGCTAGTGATCTGGTTTTTGAGCTTCTGGAAAAAGCAATTTCATTATTAGTTTGAGTCCATCTTTTTTTAAGGAGGGAAGTCCTCTAAAGCAAATCATAAAATTGCTGCTAAAGAATTTTTAATTCAAATGCCTGTGAATTAAGGTGGCATGACACGTTTATCCAATTTAAGAAGTAAAGAAGTCAAGAACAAAACCAAATTACCTGATGAAAATTAAGTAATATACTTAATCTTTTTAATTGTCTAAAATGTTTTTTTCCTGTTGAAAATACAGAATCCAATTCATAAGTATGAATTCTGAGATTAGGAGGAAAACTACACAGAATTACAGTATTAGCTGAAGCCTACTTATGAAGTTTCCAACTGAATTTTAAATATTCCTCTAAAGGATAATACTAAAAATGGATGCTGCAAATTAAAAATATGTGCAAGGCTTTGTTACGTTTGTTTTATTTAGCGTTAAGATTTAGTCACTGAATCTGGTAAAGGAGTACTCTCTTAAGGACAAGGGACAAAAAGGAAAGCACTTGCCTCAGTTACTGCAATGGTAGCTTTCACCAGGCATTAAAGTTACCACAACAGCAGGTAGCCATTCAAGTAGCTCACGATTAAAACCAAAGTCAATTCCTTCTTTAGAAAACTGTGAGCCAAACCAATTTGTCAGCAACTGGTATTGGGCAAAAGTACAGATTTCTATCTGCCCTATTGAATAGCTAATTCAAGTTTGTTTTCTGGAAAAACACTAGCCTTAAAAGCCAAACACTTAAGAACACAGACAGACACTTGGCCAGCATCACACTATGGCTTCCTTCCACATTTCATGAAACTAATTGGAGGCCCAAGTCTGTTAGTGCTCTGCATGCATAATAGTTTTGTAGGCCATAAACATATGCTTCTTTCACATGTGTCCTCTTTCAGCATCAACGAGGAATGCTGTAGAAAGTGAAAAATACAAGCTTCATACTTACTGTAAGGGACACATTCATATTGGACCTCAAGATATTTGTATGTTCCAGGACATGGATCAGGAAATACATCTGACCCAGTAACTACTATACACTGTGTTCGATTGTTGCACCTGGAAAACAAAACAAATCAAACTTGTGTAACAATAATGTATTTGTTTATTTTTACTAAAGAAATATAATAGAGAACTGATCCATATTTTCTTCAAGCAACTAGTACCATAAATTAAAAAATTCAACTGATATTAGGTTGCTGTAAAGAGTTACAAAAGTCCTATTTTCTTTATGTTGTAATATATCTGTATCATGGGTCACACTGAATTTTAACTGGAAATAAAAAGAAAATCACTAACAGTTCTCTATTCTTTTAGTATACATTTTACATTTTAATTGGAATTTTTGACATGCTCAACATGTACTGAAAAAAAAAGAAACTTACCTGGATACTCACCATATTTAAGAATTAAAATTGACTTTAAAATGGTACTGAACAAGAATGGAACTGAACAAAAGAGAGTCATAAACTGAATAGCTTGAAAGTAAATTTTGACAACATACTGAAACAAAGGAAGAGCCAGGTTTTAAGCTTATCCTCTAAATCCCATTTTGTGTTAAGCATTCTATTACAGGTATTTATACACTCTTGAATACCAGATACCAAGCTAATTGATCACACCTTCCGTGCTATGGCCTGCATAAATGACAGAATGAATTTAAAGCATTTAGCATAGTGCGTGGTACATAATACTGAGTGTCTTAAGCATTGTGTTACACTTACTATTTTCATACAGCAATAGGCTTATACTACCAACATGATATGACTATGAATTAGGTTTTTCTAAATTAGTACTCCCTGAAATACAACACTAAAAAGAATGTCACTAACATGATGTCTAGAATGTCCTATTTATTCCTATCAGAAGTATTTTCTTAGTTTTGTGTTGTCATTAATTCATTGTCATTGAGATTATTAGAATTAAGTTAGAATTCCAGGCAAGATGATATTTATTTGAGTTCTATGAATTTGTCCAAATGATCCTGTTATAAGCTATATAAAGGCAAGAACCATTTCCTTTATATTTAACTTGATTACAACCCAATGCAATGTAATATTTTCAGGGTTATTATTGTATTTTCTGCTAGTATATAAATTAGGAAGACAAAGCTAGGAGAGTAAGAGCATTTTAACAAAATTCACTTGATAATTTGAATACCAGACATTCTATAGTACATTAAATAACTAGGCTATAGCATGGCAAATAAAGAATCAAAAAGTAGCCCAGTTTTTAGCACAACTAATTCACGGAGGGTGGAAGGAGAACTGTGTTAGAGAGGGGTAGGTATGTAAGTCATGCACCTTAGAGCCACTTCAACTCAAACCAGGTTGATTCTTCCCTGTTGAGCAGCAAGACCTGAACTGAAAACTTCTATAGGATCAAACAGGTAAATTTTATAGGTCAAGGTATAATAAATGAACTTCAAATGAACATTTTAAATAAATTATAACTAAAATTGTTTGTACAAATATTAAACTAATGATAACTTTTATCATAATCTGTAATACCTTATGCCATATTTTTTAAACATACCATATAAAATAATTTTCAAAAGCACGGATAATGTAAACAATGCAGTGTCACATTCTTACGCAACATCATGTTTCACTCCCCTTATTCCGTATTTCTCTTAAATGGGTTCAATCATTTATAAAAATTTGCCAATGGTTCTCTATTTAGTGTAAATGAATTATTTTAACATGAATAGTGGAACAAATTTTATATCCTAAAATTTTAAACAGCAAATGGATTTAAGATTTCTCAACAGACCAACGTCTATTGTTTGAACTATGTTTCATTTTCTTCTTAAATTTTACAGTAACAAGAGTTCATTACTTCTTTTTAAAGTTTCTTGATCTCAGGAATTCTCAACCTCTAACCTGGTCCCCATCAAAAATTAAAAACTTTAATTTCCTTGCTTGTACTTACTTATACCTACAAAGGTCGTCCCTTTATCTCACCCTCACACTTCTTAGAAACAAAGAAATCTAAACTCTTATGAGTTAGATATCCCTTTCATACACTCCTTCTATATATATTTTATAGCCACTAACGAAGCTCTGCCATGTTGTAAATGGTTTTAATATTTATTCAAAATATATTCATGGTAGAAATCCCATAAAACAACAATTCCACTCATGAGTAAACTTTTCATATACTTCATCACCCTTCCCTTCCCATTGGAGCCTCCCTCCCCACCAAACCAGGAACAGGTGAGAGAGAAAGGGGACTGTACTCAAGGTTGAAATAGATCAAGAGCACGAAGGACTTTGGACCAAGGTGAAGAAGGAAGTTGCTCAAAGGATTTGGAAATTTATATCATTTTTTCAAAACTAAAGAACATACTGACGATTTTCCAGGTTTCTTCCCACTGTAAGATCAGATAAATAAATATGACTTTAAAATGGGATTTGAAATATCTTTTAGTCAATGTCACAGTATGTTGGCAGGAAGTATACAAGGGATAAGTAGTCCTGTTTTCATTATATTTTGTGTAAAAGAAGACAAACACCATAAAATGAAAAATAACTGCTCATATTTACTCTTTTTCTGAACAACTCTGCATTAGTCACCTGACCACAATTACAAGTTCAAATTAATGTCAAAAGCAATTATAATAATTTATATCAACCACGTAATTTTTAAAATTTCTTTTAATAATCACATTGTACAATGCATTCACTCTAAGACAGCAAAAAGTATTAATTTTAGGTCTGTGTGCTTAAGTAAAAACTGAAGGTAAAGAAACTTAATGGAGTTCCTGCAAATACAATTATACAGATTTCTAGAATTCATGGCCTCTCAGATGTCAAAAAGGTTCATTTTATATATCAGAAGTGCAAAAAATTAATCTTGAGGAAAAAAAAGGAATTTGGGTGCTAAAATAGTAAAGGGTCAGCAAGAAGAGGAACACAAAGGTATAAGAATATCAGATTTGCATACTAGTATCTTGATTCATGGATAAGAAAACCTAACATTTTAGAGGACCAAATGATGGAAATTATTAAAAATACAGACTATGTAAATTCCTTTATGCAAGTAGCCTTAGGTTTCCAAATACAGAAAGTGTGAGGAAACTAGGGAAAAGGAAATACCCAATGTGAGCTGTTAGTACTAAGAAAAATCTGAAAATTCCTTAACCAATACACTGTTGGTTAAGGCTATAAAACTGTAAACTGCTATCATTCAAGATAGGGAAAGAGAAAGCAATTAGCCACAGAAGCAAAGTAAATTCCCATCAACTGCTCAGCTTCAAGTTTTCACTCTAATGAAAATAAAAAGTCACAACTAAGCCAAGAAAGGAAAGGCATTCAGTTGTTTGCATTCTCAGCCCTAAGCGAAGTTCCCCTCATGAGTTTCTCTCTTCCTCCAGAAAAAAAGATTTATCAGTTAAGATATGGTTACATTAACAATTAAAGTATCAGTATATTTTCGTAATACCATGTGGATTCATGATGTTAAAAATTTATACTTTTCCTAAATGTGAAACATAAAAATTCAGTATAAATGAGAATAAGGCAGAAAAGGATAAATAGGGTTTTTTAAATAGGTGGACCTTTAATTATGACTTGAAGGAAATGCAATTACTGTTCATTATAAAGAAACACTTCAACTTTTAAATAATTGATTTTATTTTATTTGGTGTTTGTAAGGCTGCACAGATGAGTGAGGATAGTTAAAGCACGGGTTCTCAAAATGTGGTCCTCAGGCCAGCAGCCCCAGCACCAACTGGGAACTTGTTAGAAATTCATTCTCAGGTCCCACCCAAGACCAAACAGCCTCAGAAACTCTGGAGGCTAGTACCCAGCAATCTGTGTTTTAACTAGCTCTGCTGATGATTCTGATTTATGAGGACCACTGGGTTAGAGACAGGTTTAGGTACTTTAGTAAAGAATAAATTATATATGCGAACACATGCTTTTACTCTATAAACCTTAATAAAATACAAGTGAAATAGAAAAGCATTTAGTGATGACTATGATTTATGCAGCAAGTACATAACACAGCTTACAATGTTAACATATCTTCTCTTGCTAATTTTAATCATAAGAATCAAGGGTTTTAGTTGCTCTAATGTTGAGCCAGCAGGCTAGTTATTTATAAATTCCTAACCTAAATAAGTACAATTTCTAAGTACATGTATACATCACATGTAAGCCCATTTTCAACAACAGAAGGAAAGTATAATCTTTTCCTAGCTAATGAAAATATCTAACACTAAACAAATCTGGAAATAAAATTTTGGCAATCTGTAAAAATATACTGTGTTCCCTAGAAGGAAGGTATCATTAAAAATAACAAACCAAAACAAGATCCACTATAATCACTGCAAATTTTTCTATAGTCAACCTTTGACTTATTTATTAAAATACATTTTAATAAAGTGGCTCAACTATAGAAAAACATTATACGATACAATTGTTTTCAAAAAGAACTCAAGGGACATAAAGGCAGCCCTTGCAAAAATTTACTTCTAAGCAATTTCTGGGATATAATGTATGATTTAATACCACCTACTAAGTTAATGTAAAACTACATACGCACTCAGTCTCAGATCTAAGCGTATGGTCATTTTTAATATTCTAACCACATTTCCAAAAATTTCCAAGTTGGCATGTGTAGATAAAAAGCTAAACATTATTTTACATCGTTGGTTTAAAAGCACTATTAAAAAAATCACCTATATGTTATTTCTATACATTATTTTAGGTTGCAACTTTCTATCATATTAAATATTTCTTCCTCTAATTTTCTAATCTAAATATTGCCAAGAAAAATGTGTACTTGATAAAAATGCATTTTACAAATGTATATTACCATTAATTTACATACTAGTATATGGAAATTATGTATAAATTATCATGCAGAGATTAAACAGCAGAATTTGAAGAAACATCTTTTTATTTAGGGGACAGTAGTGCTTCATCACTAATGAAATATTAATAATGCAAACAAACTATTAATATGCTGCTTTTCCTTAATCTTTTAAAACTGTAAATGAAAGAAGGAACAATGAACACATTATTATAAGCTGAGAATAAGCTGTATGGAAATCA